ATCAACATTTCAGTGGCAATTACTCCAAAACTGGCCGACAGATTTTCCACAAAGTTTTCAGGGTAGATAGAACTTGTTGTGCTGATCATGTCAGCAATTGCTATAGATTTAAAGACTAAATTGTGCATCCTACAGACAACTGTCAATCCATTGAGCAGTTTTAGATAAACAAATCATCAGTTAAAGAAAAGACAGACGGACGGATAAAAGCTCACATGACCATCGGGTTAAAAAACAAATTATTTTTTTTATTAACATACAGGAACAAGAATTTTTTTAATAGAAAAGAAAGGATATGGGTTATCCATCCATGACACAAAATTAAACTCTTAAACTGACCTAATCACAAACCTATAACTATATGCAAAAGTTTCAAAGTCAATAGACCATGTTTGAGGAGGCTGGGCCAAACAATCTCCATGGAAATGTGATTTGCCAATACTATGCTAATACAGCTGCATACTAAACCATCGTTGACTTATCATAAGTGATTCCCTTAGAATGACCTTATCACAAACTAACAATTGTTGACGCCTCTGGAAACAGCTTATTGAAGTCTAGCTTCTTGACTCCGTGATGGCGAGATAAAAATTACAAAAAAACATCAGAAATCCTATCTGTATAACTTAACTGGTTTATATCCTTCTAAATAAAGAAAAAAATATAGAACAACATGGGTGCATTAGCCAGTCTCTATGGATTTGTAGTAGAAACGTTTTGTGTGTACTATTTGTGTGCATTTTTTTGCGAAGTAACATCAAAATGAATGGGTAGCTTTTCCATTAAAACTTTGTAAAGATCTGATTTAAGACACAAAAGATATTGTCTGAAATAAAAGAAAAATCAGTCTACTTGTAGGTAATATGACCTTGACATTGGACAAAATGAACCAAAACTCAATATGGGCATTTTTCTTTCCAAATACTTTCAAGCTGTCTGGTGAAGGTTGGACATATTGTTAAAAGATAACATATGGAAACAATACTTTTGGCCCAATGTCCTCAAAATCTATAGGGGGTCTTCTTCGTCCCTTGGACCATTGTTAAATGAAGTTTGGCATCGGTTGAACTAATGGTTCAAAAGATATAATTTAGAAACCAAATATTTGAACCAATATTTGTGACCTTTACCATTGACCTCAAAACCAATAGTTGCCTTTCTCACTCAATAAAGCCTTACAAAACCAAGTTTAAAGGTAAATATGTTCAAGATCGTTTATGGCTTGGAAAATTTCTTTATAAAGTGAAGTGTTGAGGTCCGTATGGTTTTTCGTATTATCAGCCAAGTTCGACTCAATCAAAACTTGGAAAAAAAAGTTTTCTTTGTGTTGACCTCAAATTGTGGTTTGTTGTAGGATTGATGTCTTAATTGCATTTACATCTCTTTCTGTTCAAATTTACAATTTATACGGCAGCAGGGGCAGATCCAGCCATTTTTAAAAAGGGGGGTGTTTCAACCATATGTCCCCATTCAAAAGCATTGATCGTCCAAAAAAGTGGGGTCCCCCCTTTCCTTTTTGGGCAGCATAGCTATGAGAGGAAGCATGTTTCAATATACTCATTTATTGCAACTTACCGTAACCCTTTAAGAGGATACACTGTTTTGTTCCTTTCTATTTTTAGCTATGAGGCGATCACATTTAATCATGAAATATTGCTCTAGAAGATGATCATAAATGTTCTACCAGGGTAAGGTAACAATTCGACCTCCAAAGGATAATCCAAGCCAACTGATTTATGTACAATCAACAAAAACATATATAATGGAGAGCAACTAACGACAACCACTGAATTACAGGCTCCTGACTTAAAACAGGCAAATAGTTAGAGTTGTGGTTCAACACGTGTGCATGCACCCAATCCTCATATAACCTGAGGCAGTGGTGTAACGTCACAACACAAGAACAATGAAAGAACCTTAGTGAGCGCGCTCACATACCCCACGTCCCCACATTGTCATCAGAGAAATAAAATAAGTGTAAGAAAAAAAAATTGTATCAGAAAAAAAAATTGAATCATAATTTCCTGTCAATATGCACATCTACATAGTATGTCCTTATTATCTACACAGTTTCATGAAATTCTGCTGTGTGGTTTGAGAGGAGTTGCGATGACAAAAGGTTGCAGAAGTATATTGGGCAAATAAGTTCAAAGGGGCGTAACTCCTGGAAAAAAATTGAATCGTAATTTCCTGTCGATATGCACATCTACGTAGTATGTCCTTATTATCTGAAAAGGTTTCATGAAATTCTGTTGTGTGGTTTGAGAGGAGTTGCGATGACAAAAGGTTGCAGTAGTATATTGGGCAAATAAGTTCAAAGGGGCGTAACTCCTGGGAAAATAATTGAATCGTAATTTCATGTCGATGTGCACATCTACGTAGTATGTCCTTATTATCTGAAAAGGTTTCATGAAATTCTGTTGTGTGGTTTGAGAGGAGTTGCGATGACAAACTGTTGCAGTAGTACATTAAAGTAAATAAGTTCAAAGGAGCGCAACTCCTAGAAAAAAAATTGAAACGCAATTTCCTGTCGATATGCACAACTACATAGTATGTCCTTATTATCTAAAAAGGTTTCGTGAAATTCTGTTGGGTGGTTTGAGAGGAGTTGCGATGACAAGAAACAGGACTGACGGACGGTAGTATATTGGGCAAATAAGTTCAAAGGGGCATAACTCCTGGAAAAAAAATTGAATCGTAATTTCCTGTCGATATGCACATCCACGTAGTATGTCCTTATTATCTGAAAAGGTTTCATGAAATTCTGTTGTGTGGTTTGAGAGGAGTTGCGAGTACAAAAGGTTGCAGTAGTATATTGGGCAAATAAGTTCAAAGGGGCGTAACTCCTGGGAAAATAATTGAATTGTAATTTCCTGTTGATATGCACATCTACGTAGTATGTCCTTATTATCTGAAAAGGTTTCATGAAATTCTGTTGTGTGGTTTGAGAGGAGTTGCAATGACAAACTGTTGCAGTAGTACATTAAAGTAAATAAGTTCAAAGGGGCGTAATCCCTAGAAAAAAAATTGAAACGCAATTTCCTGTCGATATGCACAACTACATAGTATGTCCTTATTATCTAAAAAGGTTTCGTGAAATTCTGTTGGGTGGTTTGAGAGGAGTTGCGATGACAAGAAACAGGACTGACGGAGGGTAGTATATTGGGCAAATAAGTTCAAAGGGGCATAACTCCGGGAAAAAAATTGAATTGTAATTTCCTGTCGATATGCACATCTACATAGTATGTCCTTATTATCTGAAAAGGTTTCATGAAATTCTGTTGTGTGGTTTGAGAGGAGTTGCGATGACAAACTGTTGCAGTAGTACATTAAAGTAATAAGTTCAAAGGGGCGTAACTCCTAGAAAAAAAATTGAAACGCAATTTCCTGTCGATATGCACAACTACATAGTATGTCCTTATTATCTAAAAAGGTTTCGTGAAATTCTGTTGAGTGGTTTAAGAGGAGTTGCGATGACAAGAAACAGGACTGACGGGTCAAAAACATTATACCCTCCGCAACCTGTTGCGTGGGGTATAATAAACTGTTGACACAGAGATATGTCTTGCCGGTTTGTTATTCCGATAATATAAATCTTGAAATTAAAGTACATGTAAATTGTGCAAAATATTAAGTCAACAAGCATTCTGTGAGTATTGCCTGGCAATACATAGTCCCCTACCGGTTAAAAATTCATTGTACTGGAACAAAATGCTAACTTGATCTATAACTTGTCATGGTGTAAACTATATAACAAATATCAAATCAATATCTTCAAGCATGACGAAAATATGTGGAAAATTGATTATTTGAGTTAATTTTCTAAGTTCAAGGACCATAACTCTACTCAAAATCGTCAGACTGAAACAAAATTCGAACTTGATCTGTAACTTGCCATAATAAAACAATACACCAATCACCAAATCAATATCTTCAAGCACGACAAAAAAAAAATTGCTTCGCCATCAAATTTTAATTTTATATATACCAGAACCAATGTAGAGAAACTTGGAGAATAAAATAAATAATAATCTTTATACTGTGGATTATATTATTATTTAATAGAAGACTATTATTTCCTGTGGGATATTTTATATACTGTGGATCTGTAGTCGTTCATTGTACTTTTGGATAACTAATTTTGGTCTTCATCGGAAGTCACTTGAATCAGTATAATTTTTGGGACTTGCAATATATTAAATCTTGGAACATATTGAAGACTAATTTTTTACTTCCAACTTTTGACATTAATCAGTGAAAATGCCAATAGTTAATAGTTGTATCCTGTACTGTTTATGACATTGCCGTACAAAATCTTGTATTAAGTTCAGCAACTAAAATTTAAAGTAGGACAGAATGATTTTAAAATCAGCAAGCTTGTTTTCTTTGATATGGTATATTTTTTTCCCCGTTTTTTGTTTATGATCTATAATACTTTTCTTACACTGATAAGTATTATAAGTAAAACTACCTACTTTATAGTATCAATTTTATAATAGCATATGAAAGATCATGTATACATTGTTATAAACTAAATTACAGAATATCATTACACAATGACATTACGTGCAGAAATTGTTTCAGAAATTCAGTAAGTGGTTGAGATGGAGTCCCAGATACATGACATCTAACGCCTATTGTAAAAAATAAAAGAAAAAGAGTTGTAAAATAAAATAAGTAAACAATACCACAAGGTTCTTGGGATTTCTGAGAAAGCTTTGCTCAAATCAGTGATTTAACTGGAATTGCATATAAAATGATTTGGTGTTTAAACAGACAAACCATACAATTAACACCACGATCATTGGTAGTATACTTTACTTATCAGGGGTATTATCAGAGCCTTTAATAATAAATAAATAAATAAAATGCTTCCCTGAGCGCAGCCTGATATGACCGCAGAGGTCGAACCCTGAACAGTTGGGGCAAATTTGGACACAATATTCAAGCTTGATACTGTCTGAATTTGGATTGTGATCAAATTTTCTGACATAATATAGGTTTCTGACACGAAATAAATGTGGTCAAAGATCTTATAAACCCATTGCGCAATACTGTGCAATTGAAGATTTCTTCTTGAAACTTTTCAAAAATTCAAAATTTTAAAAATTTTGAAAATAAATATGAATCCCTTAAAAAATCCCCCCCCCCCCCCCACTTTTTGAAACCCCCCTTGGAACAACAACCCCAAAACTCAATCCAAGCCTTTCCTTTGTAGTATGGAACCTTGTAGTACAATTTCAGAGAGATCCATACACTTACACACAAGTTATTGTCTGGAAACTCGAAAAATGCTTGTTTTTGGCCCCTAATTCCTACATGTTTGGGGCAATTAACCCCAAACTCAATCCCAGCCCTCCCTTTGTTATATGGAACCTTGTAGTACAATGTCAGAGAGATCCATACACTTACACACAAGTTATTGTCTGGAAACTAGAAAAATGCTTGTTTTTGGTCCCTTTTTGGCCCTTAATTCCTAAACTGTTGGCCCCATAACCCCTAAAATGAATCCAAACCTTCTACTTGTGGTATTAAACATTGTGGTACAATTTCAGAGCAATCAAAATACTTAAACACAAGTTATTATCCTGAAACTAGAAAAATGCTTGTTTTGGGCCCCCTTTTGGGCCCCTAATTCCTAAACGGTTGGGTCCATCATCCTCAAAATCAATCCCAACCTCCCTTTTGTGGTATTGAACCTTCTTAAAAAATGTCATAGAGATCCATTCACTAAAACTAAAGTTATTGTCCGGAAACCAATGTGTCTTTGGACGACGACATCATACAATCCCAAAAATTTTTTGCGGTCGTATAAAAATTTATAAATAAGAGGTTGACATATAATCTCCAAAAATAGACAGGGGTCAATACCATATGCAAAGATCTAATCATTCAACGTTGTACATGTTGTAATAAATTTTAACAGCAAATTTTGAAATCTTATCAATTTAAATATCTTTAAGAGACCTCTCTTCCAATCCATCCCCACCCTAAATATTAACTTACTAAGAAATACAATCAGTCAAAGTTCTTAACATTCATTATTCTTTCATGTAGTTTCAAATATTTTAAAAAATGCGCTCCGCCTGGAGCAGCTGGATACAACAGCAGAGGTCGAACTCTAAACAGTTGGGGCAAGTATGGACACAATATTCAAGCTTGATACAGCTCTGAATTTGGATAGTGATAAAATATTTGACACATTATAGATTTCTGACACAGAATAAATGTGGTCAAAGAGCTTGAAATTGGTTGTATGATTTGAATTTGACCTTAATGTAGACCTATTTAAAAATGGGGCCCCAATATCCAATATAGTAATACACGGTAAGAACCCCAAACAATTCAAGACTTTAAATCAATCCTCATTGAAATTGGTTAAAAGATTTGTATTAATTTTCAATTGAAGATTTCTTGCTGTTGTGCAATACTTTGCTGTGGCGCAATACTTAGTAAATCTGTTTACCAACTATATATAATAATTTACACACCCTGTTTGGTGTGTATCTCCTGCCATATCAGTATTTGTTGTTTCTTTATATAGATCAGAAATAATTTATGTTAGAACCAGCTTAGCCAGTATTAGAAAAGTCTTGTTTTTGGCCCCTATTTGGCCTCTAGTTTCTTAAAGATTAAAGCCATAAACCCCAAAATCGACCCCAACCTTCTGTGTGTGGTATGGAACAATGTGGTACGTGGTACAATATCATAGAGATCCATCAACTAATACTTAAGTAATTGTCTGGAAACCAGAAAAACCTTGTTTTTTCCCCCCCAATTCCTGAACAGTTTGGGCCATAACCCCCAAAGTCAATCCCAACATTCCCTTTGTGGTATGGAACCTTGTGGTACAATTTCAAAGAAATTCATAAACTTATACACAAGTTATTGTCTGGAAACTAGAAAAATGCATTTTTTGGCCCCTTTTTGACCCCTAATTCCTAAACAGTTGGGACCATAACCCCCAAAATCAATCCCAACCTTCTTTTCATGGTATTGCACCTTGTGATTAAATTTCATAGAGACCCATTCACTTATACTAAAGTTATTGTCCGGAAACCAAATGTCTTCGGAAGACGAAGTGATAGCAATATACGAACGCAATTTTTTTGCAGTCGTATAAAAATATTATGAATGAGGACAGGCACTAGGCGATGGTATTTTCGCTCACGTTAATCAATTAGGCCAGATGAGCTATGCTACAAAAAAAAAAGCACCTGTAGAAAATGTTTTTATTTACACTTGCAATAGAGAAAATGCTAAATGTTTGTTTTACAAAATTGAGTTGCCTCCATTGCAGGTGTGAAATGAATTTCAGACAACTTAGTGTATACACCACCAATAGGCAGTTACGCGGCAGGGTCATTTGACGACTTTTATCACACACTGTCATACAAACTATATGTTCGAAGCAAAGTTTACACATGATAAGATAACATGACAAAAAGTTTGTTCCTAGATTATTCTCCTTTAGAAGTTTCATCAAAATTTTCCACCAAATCTGAAAATAAAAGTTTAAAATAAGATTAGAAATGCAAATCAATTTTATCGACATATATACTAAATAAATCAATCATTTTCTCTATAAGTTGCAAACAAGAATATTTGTTCATAGGACATCAGCCCCTGTTCACATTATCAAATCTCGGTTAAACCCTTATTTATTCTATAATTTAAAAATTCACTTCTTAATAAACATTTGTAATAAGTTTCAACTTAGTGTGACCACAAGCTACCTTAAACCAAACTTTTACATGAAATGTAACTGATGAATGCACAAACCAGAAAACGTAATGCCTCTCTACTACCGTAGGTGGGGTTTAAACAGAAATGACAAAAATTATAAAAAACATCCCAAAAATGTAGAAACAACATATTTTTCTTCTTACTTGTATTACAATTTTATAAAAAAAAAAACATGTTTGTAAAAAATAAAAAATAGTTTAATCATTCCTGGAACAAAGAACTATCAGAAACTTGAATGTGTACTGTTCTTTGACATGTTTAATAGCTTTAAAAAAATAAACTGCGAGCACAGCTGGATATGACCGCAGAGGTCCAACCCTGAACGGTTGGGGCAAAAATGGACACAATATTCAAGCTTGATACAGGTCTGAATTTGGATTGTAATTAAATATTTGACACATTATAGGTTTCTGACACAGAATAAATGTAGTCAAAGAACTTGAAATTGGTTGTATGATTTGAATTTATATTCAATTGAAGATTTCTTGCAATACACTGTGCTGTTGCCCAATATTTAGTTAATCTGTTTTCAGACTATATACAAACAAATTAGCAAATTAAATTGTGACCCCCAATATTTTTCTTTGGAAAATTGACACCCCTTGCAAAAAAAATATTATTTGAAGAGAATTTTCTTTTGAGGAAAAAAAATTGCCTCCCCCCAATTTCCCCCCAGCCCCCCCCCCTTGCAAAAAAATTTTTGAAGAATTTTCCATTTTGTAAAATGTGGCACAAATTAAGACACATCCATACACTTAAACACAAGTTATTGTCTGAAAACTAGAAAAATGCTTGTTTTAGACCCTTTTTGGCCCCTAATTCCTGAACAGTTTGGGCAATTACCCCCAAAATGAATCCCAACCTTCTAATTGTGGTATTGAACCTTGTGGTACAATTTTAGAGCAATCAAAATACTTATACACAAGTTATTGTCCTGAAGCTAGAAAAATGCTTGTTTTGGCCCCTAATTCCTTAACGGTTGGGACCATCACCCCCAAAAACAATCCCAACCTTCCTTTTGTGATATTGAACCTTTTGGTTAATTTCATAGAGATCCATACACTTAAACTAAAGTTATTGTCCGGAAACAAAATGTCTTCAGACGACGCTGACATGATACAAATATACGACCGCAAAAAATTTTGCGGTCGTATAAAAATGTGACTAAGCAGTATCTTAAGTGACCTACCTGGCACGCCATCATCATCATCGTCAATATCTTCTGTAGACGGTCGGTCACTACCACCTGCTGTAAAACCAGAAAACAGAACACACAATACAAATATGTTCAATAAAACACACAATACAAATATATAGTAGAAACTTAATAAAGACTTTGCACGCAAGATTTTAAGAAAGGTCGGATTTAATTTTTGTAATTCAACTAGTGGACATTTCACTTATCAAATACATATATATCTTAATAAAATGCTCCGCTGGGGCGCAGCTTGATACGACCGCAGAGGTCGAACCCTGAACAGTTGGGGCAAGTATGGACACAACATTCAAGCTTGATACAGCACTGAATTTGGATTGTAATTAAATATTTGACACAGCATAGGTTTCTGACACAGAATGAAAGTGATCTAAGAACTTAAAAATTTTCAATTTACCTATTCATACGTGTGATGGACTGTGAAACTCAGATCAGGAGATTGGGAAATTTTGGTCAGGAGATTAGGACTCAGATCAGGAGGTTTTTAATCGACATTAATTTTGTTGTAAATGTAACCGTGTGCTGTAAAAATGGTCTTTTAAAGTGTGTTTTCTTCAACTTTCCATCCAATTTATTATGTTTATAGTACCCTTGTACTTATAAAGTTTCTCCATCTTTATATTCTACATGTTCAATCTAACATTGTTTTTTTCCAGTATGTTCTTTAAATTTTTTACTTCATATTCTATAAAACAATCATTGCAACTAGAACATTTTTTTAGCTGTCTGCAAATAGTTTTTATTTATTTTTTTTTTCTCTTGCAAATAGTTTTTATTTGCAAACTCAGAAATTCATTCTATCTGTAAAGTTAGGGTCATAGTTATTATATAAATTTCAATTTAAGCCTTAAAAGGAAGTATAGAATCCTCAAATAATTTTCAAATTATTATTTTTTTATTTGTCCTAAGACATTTAAAATCATTTAATAACCATCCTTTTATGATTATTTGTTCAATTTATATTTTATTTATATTCTTTTAAAAATTTTCATTATTAAAAGGAAATTAACTTAAAACAGGATAAATCAAGGGAAGTAACCCAATAAATACACAGTTTTTGTTACACAACGGCAGTTAGCCTGAGGTAAAAATCGTTGCTTACCAGTATATTTGACACCCAAGCTGACAAGTGAAGCCATATAATTATGCATGTTAATTGATTTACAGGTAAAATATAACTTCAGGTAATGTCAGTTACACCAGATGCCTGAGATGATATGTTGGGCAGAAATTTTTCATTCATGAAAAATTTCATACACGGGATTTTTTCCTCTTCAACGGGAGGTCGGGAGGAGACCCCTGAAAACGGGATTATTGTACTCCCGTCGGGAGGTTCACATGTATGCCTATTCAAACCATATCATTATTATTTGCTTTTATATATAAATCAGAAATAACCAATTTAAAATGGAAAATGTTAAAGAAAAAAAAGGAAAAAAAAAATCCCCCCCCCCCCCCCAATTTTTTGAACCCCCTTATGATTCACCGCCCCCAAACTCAATCCCAGCTTTCCCTTTGTGGTATGGTACCTTGCACTACAATTTCAGAGAGATTCATACACTTGAACACAAGTTATTGTCTGGAAACTAGAAAAATGCTTGTTTTTTGGCCCCTTTTTGGCCCCAAATTCCTAAACGTTTAGGGCAATTACCCCCAAACTCAATTCCAGCTTTCCCTTTGTGATATGGAACCTTGCAGTACAATTTCATAAAGATCCATACACTTACACACAAGTTATTGTCCTGAAACTAGAAAAATGCATGTTTTTTTTGCCCTTTTATGGCCCCTAATTACTAAAATTTTGAGTGAAAACCCCCAAAATCAATCCCAGCCTTCCCTTTGTGATATGGAACCTTGTGGTACAATTTCATAAAGATCCATACACTTACAAACAAGTTATTGTCATGAAACTAGAAAAATGCTTGTCTTTTGCCCCTTTTTGGCCCCTAATTCCTAATATTTGGAGGAAATTACCCCAAAAATCAATCCCAGTATTCCCTTTGTGATATGGAACCTTGTAGTACAATTTCATAAAGATCCATACACTTACAAGCAAGTTATTGTCATGAAACTAGAAAAATGCTTGTTTTTTGCCCCTTTTTGGCCCCTAATTCCTAAAATTTGGAGACAATTACCCCCAAAATCAATCCCAGCATTCCCTTTGTGATATGGAACCTTGTGGTACAATGTCAGAGAGATCCATACACTTACACACAAGTTATGTCTGGAAGTTACAAAAATGCTTATTTTTGGCCCCTTTTGGCCCCTAATTCCTTAACTGTTAGTACCATAACCCCCAAAATCAATCCCCACCTTCCTTTTGTGGTATTGAACCTTATGGTAAAATTTCAATGAGATCCATTCACTTAAACTAAAGTTAGAGTGCGAAAACTAATGTGTATTCGGACGACGACGCCGGACGACGACGACGACGACGCCAACGTCATACCAATATACGACCACAAAAATTTTTTTGCGGTCGTATAAAAAGCTGTTTAATTTTGTAAGAAACATTTAGAATGTGTCCATTGAACACATGTACCCCAGCTTTTAAATATGCAGTGTCAATGTACAAATGCATACCTATTGACGTTTTGTTTTCCTTGAAACTTAATGACATTTGTTTCTGTGTGTTGTCATTAGAGATCGCTTGGTTGTTAGAATGCTCTCTTTGTTCAATAACAAACAGTAATGGTGTAACTAAAGAATAGTGTAAGTTATGCCACCAAAATTTGAGTTGATCTGTGTTTGGTGGTAATAAGCATTTTGTATATGTTTCATAACATTTGGTTGTGATAGAAGCTATTTTTAACTTTAAAAGGGATAAATTGAACAATTTTTTAAGAAAGTATCACACAATTAAAGCATAATTGACATTTTTCCTAAAAGAGAGTCTTGCTCTTTTTTTATCTTTAAAAAAAAAGAATTGACCCAGAGGGTAAAACAGATCCAGCAGGTTTAGGGGAAACCAACAATCTTTTTTGCATGGCCCCCAGTGACAAATATAACTGGTGTCAAAACACAAAATCAACATATTGTTTACATCTAAGGACAATATTTCAAGAAGAATTTTTTTAATACTGTCATTTTTCTTTTCAAAGTTTTATCCAGTTCCAATTGTACACTTCAGATTTTCTACCGTACTATGTATTTGTATCTTTTCCTTATTAAAAATGGTGATGATGGATGGATGCTTAATGTCCAGCAGCAAATTAATATGCATATTCAGGACGAGAACATGTTAATGTAATATGAATATTAACCCTGCTTTGTACTAGACCGACACGCTGAGCTGGATTTTTAACGTGCTAATTCACAAGGTAACAGTCTGCAGGAAGACAAGTCACCTGTCACGGACTCATTATTCTGACTCTGAGCCAACTAGTCTTTGCTCTTACTCCTTAATGCTGCGTGTTTAGTAAAGAAACAGCAAATACCAATTTTAAAGTCTTTGGTTTGACTCGGTAAGGGTTCAAACCCGCGACCGCCCACACTTGAGGTAAACACACTACAACGAGACCACCAAGGTGGATTCCTTATTAATACTACTGTGTATCTTTATTTTATATTACTTTACATTATTGTGTGTATTAATTTTCTTGTATACAAATTTGATAAGTACCTCCAGCAACAGTAGAAGCAAGTTTTTTAAGACTACTTAAAGATTCTGCTCCTAGCTGGTTCAGGATTCCGGGTAACATTTCTGCTATTTCTGAAATTATGTAAAAATATAACATATTAAGAGATAATAAATAAATGAAGCTTAAAATATCTATGCAGCTTCAGTATATCTTTCTTCCAAGTTTTCAGATCAATAATAATACAAGTTAGCCATGAAATTAAATATATGCATTAACAACAAAAAACATTCCTGATGTTTAAAATAGTAGCAGATAATCATAAATATGGTCCAGTTCTTACCCAAATCATGTTTGTCAATAAATCTTACAATTGGCAATTTATCCTATTAATTTATAAGGACTAAGTTTCTGATATATCACAAATTGCAACAAATATGTGGAAAAATTATGACAACAAAACTAATACATAATTTTTTTAAAATCTGACACTTTGATCAAACACAGGATAAAATAAATGGAGAATGTGTCTATGGGCCACAGATGCCCCCACTTGTAAATGTGGATGAGTCAACTTCCACATACAGATGCAGGATTCATGTAGTAAAGACCATTTTGTGATTATAAGCATTGTGTACAAGTTTCATAACATTTGGTTGAGGCAAACTAAAGTTAGAGAACATAAACGACAGATTTAGCAATTTTTCCATTTGTAAAGGGGCATAACTCAATAACGGTAAAAGTGACGCCACCCAATTTCAAACTTGATCTGTGTTTTGTGGTAATAAGCATTGTGTACAAGTTTTATAACATTTGGTTGAGGCAAACTAAAGTGAGAGAACGGAAACAAAAAATTCAGCAATTTTTTTATGTTTATAAAGGGCATAACTCATGAACGGTAAAAGTGACGCCACCCAATTTCGAACTTGATCTGTGTTTTGTGGTAATAAGCAATGTGTATAAGTTTTATAACATGTGGTTGAGGCAAACTAAAGTTAGAGAATGGAAACCAATTTTGGGGACGGACAAGGGTAACACTTAATGCCACCTCCGTTACGGCAGGGGCATAAAAAGTGAGAAAAAAATAAAATAAAATGCTCCGCAGGGCGCAGCTTGATACGACCGCAGAGGTCGAACCCTGAACAGTTGGGGGAAGTATGGACACAACATTCAAGCTTGATACAGCTTTGGATTTGGATTGTGATTAAATATTTGACACAGCATAGGTTTCTAACACAGATTGAATGTGGTCTAAGAACTTAAAAATTTTAAATTGGACATTCACCTATTATGGTCCAATATCCAAAATCTAAATACATGGTTAGATTCAGCATATCAAAGAACCCCAAGAATTCAATTTTTGATGAAATCAAACAAAGTTTAATTTTGGACCCTTTTGACCTCAATGTGGACAAAGTTGATAACGGGGCCCAAAAATCAAAAATCTAAATACATGGTTAGATTCAGCATATCAAAGAACCCCATATATTCAATTTTTGTTGAAATCAAACAAAGTTTAATTTTGGACCCCGATTTGGACCAACTTGAAAACTGGGCCCATAATCAAAAATCTAAATACATGTTTAGATTCAGCATATCAAAGAACCCTAAGAATTCAATTTTTGTTAAAATCAAACTAAGTTTAATTTTGGACCCTTTGGACCTTAATGTAGACCAATTTGAAAACGGAACCAAAAATTAAGAATCTAAATACACGGTTAGATTCGGCATATCAAAGAACCCCAATAATTCAATTTTTGATGAAATCAAACAAAGTTTAATTTTGGACCCTTTTGACCTCAATGTGGACAAAGTTGATAACGGGGCCCAAAAATCAAAAATCTAAATACATGGTTAGATTCAGCATATCAAAGAACCCCATATATTCAATTTTTGTTGAAATCAAACAAAGTTTAATTTTGGACCCCGATTTGGACCAACTTGAAAACTGGGCCCATAATCAAAAATCTAAATACATGTTTAGATTCAGCATATCAAAGAACCCTAAGAATTCAATTTTTGTTAGAATCAAACTAAGTTTAATTTTGGACCCTTTGGACCTTAATGTAGACCAATTTGAAAACGGAACCAAAATTTAAGAATCTAAATACACAGTTAGATTCGGCATATCAAAGAACCCCCATAATTCAATTTTTGATGAAATCAAACAAAGTTTAATTTTGGATCCTTTGGACCTCAATGTGGACCAATTTAAAAACGGGGCCCAAAATCCAAAAACTAAATACACGGTTAGATTCAGCATATTAAAGAACCCCATGAAATCAAGAATAAAACCCCATTGAAATTGGTCAAGAAATAAGCAATTTATAGGAAGTATCTTCTTTTGCACAATCCTGTGCTATTAAATATTTCTTGCTATTGCGCAATACTGTACAATTGACAATTTCTTGCTATTGCGCAATATTGTGCTATTGGATATTTCTTGCTATTGCGCAATACTGTGCAATTGAAGATTTCTTGCTATTGCGCAATACTGTGCAATTGAAGATTTCTTGCTATTGTGCAATACTGTGCAATTGAAAATTTCTTGCTATTGCACAATACTTATTATATAATAATTTACACATCCTGTTTGGTGTGTATCTCCTACCATATCATTTTTATTTGATTTTAAATATAAATCAGAAATAACCAACTTAAAATGGAAAATTTTAAAAGAAACAAAAAAGGAAAAAAAGAAAAAAAAGGAAAAAAAAATAAAACCCCCCCCAAAATTTTTTGAACCCCCATTATGATTCATCACCCCCAAACTCAACCCCAGCCTTCCCTTTGTGGTATGGTACCTTGCAGTACAATTTCAGAGAGATCCATACACTTGAACACAAGTTATTGTCTGGAAACTAGAAAAAAATGTGTTTTTTGGCCCCAAATTCCTAAACATTTAGGGCAATTACCCCCAAACTCAAACCCAGCTTTCCCTTTGTGATATGGAACCTTGTAGTACAATTTCAGAAAGATCCATACACTTACACACAAGTTATTGTCATGAAACTAGAAAAATGCTTGTTTTTTGCCCCTTTTTTGGCCCCTAATTCCTAAAATTTGGAGGCAATTACCCCCAAAATCAATCCCAGCATTCCTTTAGTGATACGGAACCTTGTGGTACAATGTCAGAGAGATCCATACACTAACACACAAGTTATGTCTGGAAGTTACAAAAATGCTTATTTTTGGCCCCTTTTTGGCCCTTTATTCCTTTACTGTTATTACCATAACCCCCAAAATCAATCCCAACCTTCCTTTTGTGGTATTGAACCTTGTGGTAAAATTTCATAAAGATCCATTTACTTAAACTAAAGTTAGAGTGCGAAAACCAATGTGTCTTCGGACGACGCCGGACGACGACGACGACGCCGACGCCAACGTCATACCAATATACGACCACAAAAATTTTTTTGCGGTCGTATAAAAATAACTCTAGAACGGTTAAAGTGACGCCACCAAAATTCAAACTGGATCTGTGTTTTGTGGTAATAAGCATTGTGTATAAGTTTCATAACATTTGGTTGAGGCAAACTCAAGTTAGAGAACGGAAACCAATTTTGGGACGTACGGACGGACGTATGTATGTACGTACGTACAGACGGACAAGGGTAAAACTTAATGCCCCCACCGCTACGGCGGGGGCATAATAAAAAAAAATAATTCAACTATCGATGTTTTAAAAGAACTATATATTTATAAATTAAATGTCTTCCATTGGATGTGGTAAAGGTTATTTATTCTAAGCTCTGTCTTTAAAGGCATTGTCCCTTTAATACTATTAATTATACTTACGTTTATTTTCAGCCTGGCCTGTAATGGCAAATGTGTTGGCTGCTAATGATGCTTGCACTTTTGGATTGTTAAAATGAATAACCATACCATCTTCTTTAATCATATTAACCTGTTATACAGAAAACAAACATCATCTTATTTTTAAGTATGATGCTGAATACTGAGCGATTAACCATTTTTTGCTATTACTTTATAAATAGTGTTTAAAATGTGATAGCTGCTTGATGTACATAAATGTAAAATACATAAGTGTCACTACATTCTAGCAAAGCCTAATGTTCCCACATGATGTCCGTCATAATTGTTGTTTGCATTTTATTCTTGGGCCTTTGATAGATTACTACACAGGTTTTACTCATTGTTGATGGTGATACAGTGATCTGTATCAGCCCTCAAAGTAGCTTCTGAAATGAGGTTGCCAATTGGCCACCAGACATGAAAATTTAGTGGCCAACTCAAAATTTCAGTGGCCCGGAAATAATTTCAGGTCGCCTACATTTTTTTTTATAGCTAAACAACCCTTGTGAAATAAAAGTATAAAGTTTTTGTTGTGTTTTTATGCTGACGAGTGTAGAAAATGGTTTGTGTAAATCAACTGTTAATAAAATGCTCCGCAGGGCGCAGCTTGATACGACCGCAGAGGTCGAACCCTGAACAGTTGGGGCAAGTATGGACACAACATTCAAGCTTGATACAGCTCTGAATTTGGATTGTGATTAAATATTTGACACAGCATAGGTTTCTGATACAGAATGAATGTGGTCTAAGAACTTAAAAATTTTAAATTGGACATTCACCTATTATGGTCCAATATCCAAAATCTAAATACATGATTAGATTCAGCATATCAAAGAACCCCAAGAATTCAATTTTTGATGAAATCAAACAAAGTTTAATTTTGGACCCTTTTGAACTCAATGTGGACAAAGTTGATAACGGGGCCCAAAAATCAAAAATCTAAGTACATGGTTAGATTCAGCATATCAAAGAACCCCATATATTCAATTTTTGTTGAAATCAAACAAAGTTTAATTTTGGACCCCGTTTGGACCAACTTGAAAACTGGGCCCATAATCAAAAATCTAAATACATGTTTAGATTCAGCATATCAAAGAACCCTAAAATTTAAATTTTTGTTAAAATCAAACTAAGTTTAATTTTGGACCCTTTGGACCTTAATGTAGACCAATTTGAACAGGAACCAAAAATTATGAATCTAAATACACGGTTAGATTCGGCATATCAAAGAACCCCAATAATTCAATTTTTGATGAAATCAAACAAAGTTAAATTTTGGACCCTTTGGACCTCAATGTGGACCAATTTAAAAACGGGGCCCAAAATCCAAAAACTTAATACACGGTTAGATTCAGCATATTAAAGAACCCCAAGAATTCAAGAATAAAACCCCATTGAAATTGATCAAGAAATAAGCAATTTATACGAAGTATCTTCTTTTGCACAATACTGTGCAATTGAATATTTCTTGCTATTGCGCAATACTGTACAATTGACAATTTCTTGCTATTGTGCAATATTGTACAATTGACAATTTCTTGCTATTGCGCAATACTGTGCAATTGAAGATTTCTTGCTATTGCGCAATACTGTGCAATTGAAGATTTCTTGCTATTATGCAATACTGTGCAATTGAAAATTTCTTGCTATTGCACAATACTTATTATATAATAATTTACACATCCTGTTTGGTGTGTATCTCCTACCATATCATTATTATTTGCTTTTAAATATAAATCAGAAATAACCAACTTAAAATGGAAAATTTTAAAAGAAAAAAAAAAGAAAGAAAAAAAAATCCCCCCCCCCAAATTTTTTGAACCCCCTTATTATTCATCACCCCCAAACTCAATCCCAGCCTTCCCTTTGTGGTATGGTACCTTGCAGTACAATTTCAGAGAGATCCATACACTTGAACACAAGTTATTGTCTGGAAACTAGAAAAATGCTTATTTTTGGCCCCTTTTTGGCCCCCAATTCCTAAACATTTTGGGCAATTACCCCAAAACTCAATTCCAGCTTTCCCTTTGTGATATGGAACCTTGTAGTACAATTTCAGAAATATCCAAACACTTACACACAAGTTATTGTCATGAAACTAGAAAAATGCTTCTTTTTTGCCCCTTTTTTGGCCCCTAATTCCTAAAATTCGAGGCAATTACCCCCAAAATCAATTACAGCCTTCCCTTTGTGATATGGAACCTTGTGGTACAATGTCAGAGAGATCAATACACTTACACACAAGTTATTGTCTGGAAGTTACAAAAATGCTTATTTTTGGCCCCTTTTTGGCCCCTAATTCCTTAACTGTTGGTACCATAACCCCCAAAATCAATCCCAACCTTCCTTTCGTGGTATTGAACCTTATGGTAAAATTTCATGGAGATCCATTCACTTAAACTAAAGTTAGAGTGCGAAAACCAATGTGTCTTCGGACGACGCCAGACGACGACGACGCCAACGTCATACCAATATACGACCAAAAATTTTTTAATTTTTGCGGTCGTATAAAAACCACATGATTTATTTGATATTCATTGACATTGTACATGTTTTAAAACAGTCTGCGACGTTAAGCGGTAGCCCAAAGCCCAAATATAGTAAAAATCTCATCTGATTTGTGCAGAAGCACTGGTGATTGCCCGATCAGTCAAGTGAACATCTGAAATTGTTTGCTAAATTGTAGCCAGTATTTCATTGAATCTATGAGGACAAGTTACAAAATTGTCCTGACCTTGTTTCCATCCGTTTACTGACGGAATCAAGAACGAGGCTCGACCATGTGGTTTCAATAAACACAATCTATAAATGCCAACTGTTTTCTTTTTAACGGCACGTAATAGTCCAAGTTGTGACTGAGTGCGAAAATACAAAGATAGATATATATAAATCCTGTCAGTAAGTCAACGACAACAAATTGCTTACAAATGAACTACAAGTACCTGATGCAATAAAGCACTGACAAGATCAAGCTTAAATCTAAAAGGCGCTTGAAATACAGTAAAAAATTGTGTTACTGTCAAGCGCTCAGACAATTATTTAACACCCGACTCTGATCAGGGCAAACTTTCCGAAAATTTACGGTCGCCAGATTTTCAATATTCTAATAGCCTAAATGGCGACCAGTTATGAATTTTTGGTCGCCAATTAGCTTTTAAAGTCGCCCAGGCGACCATTTCAGTAGACTTAATAGAGGGCTGTGTATTTGTTTACATCCTTGTCATTTGGTCTCTGGTAATATCTCTGACAATCATACCACATCTCCTTATTTTCCCATTGGAAACCATTCAAGTATTACTTTAAAAACTTAAAACAAATTTGACCTTTTCCTGCATTTTTGTTATTTTCTAAGGTCTTTCCTGACTGGGAACGCAATAAATACTTGATTATGTCGAAGACTGTATATTGACCTATAAATATCTGTTGTTTCTTCTTGTTGTATCAGTGAAATTTACTCCACATGTATTTCAATTCAACTCAATAGAAACAAACCTCTTCAATGCCTGGTATATTGCTAACAGAAAGTTTCTTTAATGTGGTCTGTACTTTTTTACCATCTGTGGTAGCAGTTCTGTGGACAACCTTCTTCTTCCTTCGGGCAGTTCCCTGAAATTAAAAGATGGTTTGTAATGATACCACCACTATAAGTATTTAGTTAACAAAGCGTTGATGGGCAATGGAAAAAATGCTTCTCACGATACAGCATGCTCACATATATAGTCAGGGGTTCTAATTCATAGTTCCTGAGAAAAATTGGATGAAAATTTCACACATATTAAAATAAGATATGGTATGATTGCAACTATCCACTAGAGTCTTGGTCATTATGTATTAGAATATAAACGAATTCAGTAAGGCAAGGCTATTTTATTTTTTTGGTTTACAACCCTAGTTTTCCGAATTTCAGAAGAAAAAAAATATGGACATTTCATGCTTTTTAATTCACGCTGACCATCATAAATACATTATCCCTGAAATGCATAAATAAAAATATCTGCTTAGCAGCATTTCCATGAAATTAAATGCATTATTTTAGCATGTTAAATATTAACAGAAATTATTACACATTTTCTAAAAAATAAAAATAAATAAATATGGATAGTGTCCACATGTGATGCCCCCGCTTGCATAGCATATCGTTATAAAGGGACATAACTGAAGAACGGTAAAAGTGACGCTACCCAAATTTGAACTGATCTGAGTTTTGTGGTAATAAGCATTGTGTGCAAGTCTCATAACATTTGGTTGAGGCTAACTTAAGTAGAGAACAGAAACTAATAAACTGCTTCGCTGAGCGCAGCTGGATACGCCCGCAGAGGTCCAACCCTGAACAGTTGGGGCAAAAATGGACACAATATTCAAGCTTGATACAGGTCTGAATTTGGATTGTAATTAAATATTTGACATATTATAGGTTTCTGAATAAATGTAGTCAAAGAACTTGAAATTGGTTATATGAATTGAATTTATATTCAATTAAAGATTTCTTGCTGTTGTGCAATACACTGTGCTGTTGCGCAATACTTAGTAAATCTGTTGTCAGACTATAATAGACAAATAAAGTTCAATTAGTTCTCAATGTCATATTAGAAATTTATGAAAATGTAATGGGAGCTTACATCAATAGATATAAACAATTCACCAAAGTTTCATGAGAATTGCTGACAGCATTTTTGAGTTATTGTCCGAAAACTGGAAAATCCCCCCTTTTTTAATGAATAAAACCCCATAACTCAGAAATGTAAAATGTAAAGTTTATAAAATTCTAAACGGAGCTTACATCAATAGATATAAACAATTCACCAAAGTTTCATAAGAACTGCTAAAAGCATTTTTGTTTTTTTGTCCAAAAACTGGAAAATCCCCCTTTTTTTATGAATAAAACCCTGTAACTCGGAAACATGATATCTAAAATATATAAAAATCGAAAGAGAGCTCATGTCAATAGATATAAACAATTCACCACAATTTCTTGCAAGTTGGTGAAAAGATTCTTGAGTTATTGTCCGAAAACTTGAAAAATCACCCATTTTTTCATGAATAAAACCCCATAACTCGGAAACGTAAAATCTAAAATTTATAAAAAACGAAAGGGAGCTCACGTCAATAGTTATAAACAATTCACCAAAGTTTTATGCAAATTGGTTAAAGCGTTTTTGAGTTAATGTCCGACATGTTGACGACGGACGGACAGACGGACGGACAGACAGACAGACTGACAGACTGACGGACGGACAGACGGACAGAGGTATACCATAATACGTCCCGTAAACGGGCGTATAAAAATTCAGCAATTTTTATACAACCACAAAAATTAAAAAAATTTTGGTCGTATATTGGTATCACGTTGTCGTTGTTGTCAGCGTCGTCCGAAGACAGATGGTTTTCCGGATAATAACTTTAGTATAAGTAAATAGAAATCAATAAAATTTTAACACAAGGTTTATAACCACTAAAGGAAGGTTGGGATTGATTTTGGGGGTTATGGTCCCAACTGTTCAGGAATAAGGGGCCAAAAAAGGGGCCCAAATAAGTATTTTTGTAGTTTCCAGACAATAACTTGTGTTAAAGTGTATGAATCTCTCTGAAATTATACCACAAGTTTCCATACAACAAAGGGATGGTTAGGATTGACTATGGGTGGTTATGGCTCAAACCATTTAGGAATTAGAGGCAATAAACTGCTTCCCTGAGCGCAGCTGGATTCGCCCACAGAGGTCTAACCCTGAACAGTTGGGGCAAAAATGGACACAATATTCAAGCTTGATACAGGTCTGAATTTGGATTGTAATTCAATATTTGACATACATGTATTATAGGTTTCTGAATAAATTTAGTCAAAGAACTTGAAGTTGGTTATATGAATTGAATTTATATTCAATTAAAGATTTCTTGCTGTTGTGCAATACACTGTGCTGTTGCGCAATACTTAGTAAATCTGTTGTCAGACTATAAACAAATAAAATTTATAAAATTCTAAAGGGAGCTTACATCAATAGATATAAACAGTTCACCAAAGTTTCATATGAATTGCTGAAAGCATTTTTGAGTTATTGTCTGAAAAATGGAAAATCCCCCATTTTTTAATGAATAAACCCCATAATTCGGAAATGTAAAATCTAAAATTTATAAAATTCTAAAGGGAGCTTACATCAATAGATATCAACAATTCATCAAAGTTTCATGAGAACTGCTGAAAGCATTTTTGAGTTATTGTCCGAAAACTGGAAAATCCCCCTTTTTTGTACGAATAAATCCCCATAACTCAGAAACATAAAATCTAAAATTTATAAAAATCCAAAGGGAGCTCATGTCAATAGATATAAACAATCAACCAAAATTTCTTGCATGTTGGTGAAAGCATTCTTGAGTTATTGTCTGAAAACTGGAAAATCCCCCTTTTTTTAATGAATAAAACCCCATAACTCGGAAACGTAAAATCTAAAATTTATAAAAAACGAAAGGGAGCTCAGCTCACCTCAATAGATATAAACAATTCACCAAAGTTTTATGCAAATTGGTTAAAGCTTTTTTGAGTTAATGTCCGACATGTTGACGACGGACGGACGGACAGACGGACGTACAACAGTATACCATAATACGTCCCGTAAACGGGCATATAAAAAAGGGGGAAAAACAAGTTTTATTCTGGTTAAAGGACAATTAAGACAATTTAAAGCAGTCTAAGGGAGGTAATCCAATCCCAATTTAAAACAACAATGTTTGATTACCTCCCTTACACTGCTTGTAAATTATGTATTAAGAAATGATGATTGTCTTGAGGTGATTAGCTGGTATTTTATTTTCAAAAGTTACTATTAATTAATTTTAATTTTAGCCATGACTATGTATGTCATTTTATATTTTAAGACTTGTATGATGTATTTAAAAGGGTAATTATGGTTGCAAATTTATTAAAATTTGAATTGAGATTATGACTATATCTTGAGGGAATGATTTTTTTTTGGCATTAGGGAAAGAGAGAGGTGAAAAAAAATTGGGGGGGGGGGGGTTAAATAAGAATTTAGGGGGGGGGGGACTATTTTTTCTCATTTCAGATATTAATAAATGTGGATAGTGTCCATGTGGACACAGATGATGCCCCATCTTGCATATCATATAGTTATAAAGGAACATAACTGAAGAATGGTAAAAGTGACGCTACCCAAATTTGAACTTGATCTGAGTGGTAATAAGCATTGTGTGTAAGTCTCAACATTTGGTTGAGGCTAACTTAAGTAGAGAACAGAAACTAAAAATTCAGCAATTTTTCCTCTATTTGTAAACACGCATAACTCTAGAAGGATGTGTATAAGCATAGATATAATAGCCATAGATAAAGTACTCAGAATTTGTCACACTGAGCCCCATGTAGTTTCCTTTGAAATATCAAAAGCACGGCACTGCGCGTAGTGGCCTATGATGTAGATGATATTTGCCGACATCCTCCCAATAGACTAATTACTTATCATAATTATATTTAAATTATCGGGCACTCGTCTTATCAACCGATAATTAATATGCGTTACCTGTCTCAAGTAATAATATGCCGTGACACGGAAGCAATAAAAAGCATCTGGTTGTAAAAGTTGTTCGGATTGTAATTTATTTGGAGAAAATCGGTCAACTAATGAAAAGGTTATGCTGTTGTTGAAATAATAAAATAGAGAAATCATGGAAAATGGACTTAACAGGCATGTAAAATTAAATTGTCATAGCACTTGCATCGGTTGCACTCGGGAAATAAGACCTGTATGATTGACAAAAGGAGACATATCGTTTACTGATGGTATACGTGGTTAAGAGGTCGAACCTGGTCGAATTTTTCTATGGCGAGTTAAAGAAATTTCTTTTTTATCGAGATTCAAAATAGTGTAATCATATTTTATGCCAGAAAGAAGAAATTATTATTTTTTTAGAAAAGAAAAATGATTTTACAAGTGTTGAAACTTTCTGTCGTAACAAGAAGTTTTAGAAAATAAAGAGAAAAAAGGAATACATTATACACTAATTAAACACTGTTTGGTGAAGAAAACGTATGTAGTGGACACACTGAATACATTAAATAATATGGAAATAGCAAAATTATGTCTCTGAATTTGTTTCTTCTATATACCTTTCCGCTTATCATTTTTGTGCTTGTTTTGCTATTAAATAGATGGTGGTATAATCTGATTGTCGATTTCATTTTTAAAGTAAACAATATATAGATTAAGCGTTATAATGTCTATGATAAAATGAAAATACAGGAGTTTTGTCCTGTGTCATTCATGTTTTTTTCCCTTCCTTCTTACAATTGTGTTAGAGGTGTGATTTGTACTATAAATACAGCTATATATCCCTTCCGGCGTGGGACGTTTGCGCTTTTACATAGGACGTTTGTGCTTTTTTAAATGGACATTTGCGCTTCAGTTCATAGGACATTTCGCTTTTACCGGTAATATTTTCTATTTTATACGAGCTTTGGACCTGGCAGAGTTAAAAAAAAAGTCGTTTTTTAATATGGTTAAAAGTCATTATGTAGCACATTCGTGTCATTAAAAGTCTCCTGATTCACAATTTATTAGATATCGATCGAAAGCAATTGCCAACGAAGGCTAATTAACACCAAGCGTGACAAGTATATAATAAGAGGGTGATAAAATTTCGGCAAATATCATCTGCTTTTGATGTGGGTCCAGTACTTTATCTATGGCTATTATATTTATGGTATAAGTTTTATAACATTTGGTTGAGACAAACTAAAGTTAGAGAACGGAAACAAAAAATTCATCAATTTTTATGTTTATAAAGAGACATAACTCAAGAATGGTAAAAGTGTCGCCACCAAATTTCGTACATAATCTGTATAATGTAGTAATAAGCATTGTGTATAAGTTTCATAACATTTGGTTGAGGCACACTAAAGTTAAAAAATGGAAAAAAAAAATTTGTACTTGATCTTAGTTTTGTGGTAATGAAAATTGTGTATAGGTTTCATAATGTTTGGTTGAGGCAAACTTAAGTTACAGAATGGAAAATTTTTTTTGCAATCTTTCGATTTATAAAGGGGCATAACTCAATAATGGTTAAAGTGACACTACCCAAATTCAACTTGATCTGTGTTTTATCAGTGGAAGTCAAAATTAAACATTGCATTGTATAAAGCATTGATTTAAGTAAATTCAACTATAATCATGGACACAGGAAGATAACTCCAATTTTAAAAATAATTGATATTTAGAAGAAAATAAAAATTTTGCAATTTTTCCATTTATAAAGGGCCATAACTCTAGAACGGTTAAAGTGACGCCACCAAAATTCAAACTTGATCTGTGTTTTGTGGTAATAAGCATTGTGTATAAGTTTCATAACATTTGGTTGAGGCAAACTTAAGTTAGAGAACGGAAACTAAAAATTTTGCAATTTTTTCATTTATTAAGGGGCATAACTCTAGAACGGTTAAAGTGACGCCACCAAAATTCAAACTTGATCTGTGTTTTGTGGGAATAAGCATTGTGTATAAGTTTCATAACATTTGGTTGAGGCAAATTCAAGTTAGAGAACGGAAACCAATTTTGGGACGTAAGTACAGACGGACTAGGGTAAAACTTAATACCCCACTGCTTGGGCGGGGGCATAAAAATTATCCAATAGTTTGTGTTTCTAAAAATAGACAATCATGACTGATGTTGAAATGTTGTTTGCGCAAATAATTTTGTGGAACAAAACCTATGTTAAAACCCAATTACAAAAAGTTTGATTACCTTTTTTGTCATAATTTCATGAGATTCTTCATCTCATAGATCCAAACATGAAAGAAGTCAAGTTAAAAGTAAGAGATATCTACAAACAATTTGCATTTTTTTTGTTTCATAGATTGAAAGAAATGTGTTTATTTTTTATATCAAAAACAGGATTGCCTAACAAAGCATGTAACTGATATCCTCATTTCCCGTGGATGAGTCTACTTCGTTTTTGACACGGATGGTAAAGTTTTATTTTCTGGCGGCGTGTTTGCAATTTTTATTTTACGTGTTTTCATGCTTGGAGCTAAGTATATCATGTTTCCTGAAAGTAGATTAAAAGCAATGTGTGGCTGTTTTTCTCATTCGTGAATGACCATTTATTTTCCTGTTTGTCTGTGGACATAACTCCCTTTTTACAAAATAATATAACAATGGCATGCATTGTATGTTAAAAATAGCTGAGCAATAATATTTAACAATAAATTTTAAGAAATGATGACAAAATAGCATACCAAAAAAATTATTACTAAGCTGAAATATATTTATTTTATACATATTTATGTCTTGCAAGATATTTTTTCACCGACCGACCCAACTTTATCATGTAAAAAATCTGTAAACCAACAAATTAAAAAACCATTGCCTAAACAGCATGAACAGGAAGTTAATAAGTGACGACTTAAACAGGGGTTTATCTAGGTATTTTGGGAAAAAGGACCCTGGCCAGTTTTGGGAATTTTTTAACACGGTTTTCAGTGAAATTGGGAAAAACAACCTATATACCAAATGCTAGTTTTAGTGTGTTTAGTTCAATAAAAAATTTCTTTTTTGGTGAACATGGTGAAAATAAAGTAAGAAACTACATGAATGCTATTAATAATTCAATTTTCTGTTCTGTTTTTTTGGTGAAAAAGACAAGTATTGTCACATTTTATTTTATTTTTACATGAAAATTTGTGAACTCAAATATTTTTCTGTATAAAATATATCCTGTTTCTTTTTTCATATATCTTTAGGTTTCAATTTCAGGGTTGTTATTTCATAGCTGTCACATTCTTGAATTTTTTAAATTTATTTATTTCAAGGATTTATATAATAAGAACTATACAAATCATTTTTTTGTTTATTTATTGTATTTTATCTGCAAACCCGGAATTATAGCCTTATCCGTTTGCGGAATTTGATCTGGTTTTGTAATTTTCTTCACTTCCTGTGTTTTCGCAGCCATTGTTTGTCAATGTTGTTTTTTGTCAGTCATTATGTTTCAACTGGGATTTACACATTACTTGTTGGCAATTCTCAGCATAAAGCTAGCGGTTGAACATAATAAACATCTCTGTCTTGAATAATAAAGATGAAAATGAGTTTTGTAATCAATTGGGAATTTTCCCCACAAAATTTGGAAAAATGTAGGTGTTTTGCTGTTGGGAATGGGTCCGAATACCGGACCTTGTGGAATGCTAGAAAAATCCATGTTAAATAATGCATCAAATGGTATGTTCACATGAATCTTGATACTTGCTTCCTGAGAAAAATACAACAGTATCATATCAAAGTAGTCATATTTGTCAATACCTTTTAATGATTGACGAACCTTAACTATACATGTATGTTGTTTTGTGAACATACAAATATAAACTTTGAAAATAGGACATTTTATTTTGTAAGTATTCTTAATTAAGTTGCCTTACAAATGTAAAAGTTGATCCCTCTTTCTATGTATAAAACCTAACTCACCTTTCCACCAATCCTCACTTGTTCTTGAAGTTGCTTCAGTTTTTCTGGATTCATTGTAAAATGTGTTCTGAAAAGAGAAATGTTTTGTCCAATGAAAAAAAAGTTAAAAAAGTAGGGTATTAAGACAAAGATTGAGTGATCAGATAACGCAAAACAAGAGGTGTCTGGGACAGCAGAGATGCAGATATTTTTTTTTTCCTGTAGACATTGGGTCCTGCATGTGAGACAGTTTTGCCAGTCCTATCAATGTTTGCCAGACCTACTTTTTTTGAAAAAAATAACTAGTTACCAGTTGGATTAAGATAAGCCTTAAAACCTTGACTAGAACAGCCAGGTTAAATAAGGATATGACCATGGGGTGGTTTAATGACTGACACATTAAATTTAAATTATCCTGCAACATCAAATAAATAAGCGAGAATGGTGTACTACACTTGCCAACTTAGTAAGACAACTGTTCATTAACTTTATGGATGGTTGTCTTATTAATTGGCATAAGAACCTTTAGATCAAAAACAAAGACAGTGGCAAGCTACATTTACGTCAAAACGAATAGGTGTGTTCACACATTTACTAAAATGAAAAAAAAAGCTCTAAGAAAATTAAAATAATACTTTTTTTTGTTTAATTTAGTTTACATAAATCTTGTCATTAGTGGTCCCTTAAATTATAGAACGTTTGGTTTTCAATGCTTTTCAACTACATAATTGATTTGGCCATCTATTGTTCCAACTGTTCAATTAATTCATGCACCACTGATTTGTCATATGGAGACGAAGCCTGTGTTTGTCGTTTAATAACAATGTTCTCGTTAAGTCCCGTATTCGCGATCTGGATGCGCCGTAATGCATTTAGCATGAACCGTGTGTCCGAGGGACGCGTCCTGATAACACATGCTGAGTCTTGTAATCCTCAGAATTCTCTCTCAGCTATCAAAAAGAAGCCGAAAACATGCTTCTATTCAATATTTATACCGGAAATTTACTTTCGTTTTTATTCATTGCTATGTGTAATGATAAGTCCTGAGAAATACGAAAATAATTATGATCACATGACTTACGCTAATAAAAGCAGAGAAGATCGAAATCGATTTACATCAGCACGTTTACCTATTACCGGCAATAAATGTGTCATTAGTACTTTTGGTTTTCAATGCTTTTAAACAACATAATTGATTTTGAAGCCAAGGTAACCAGGACCCAAAGAAATTTCAATTTTGACGGCCCCAAACAGTAAAAATATTTGCCGGTCATTGGGTCTGACACAAAGACGTCATTTGCCGGACCCTCTAAAATCCTGCCCCCTATGTCCGACAGGTCTGACGATTAGCTGCATCACAGTTGTACCACAGTCTAATTTCAGCATCAATCAATACTGCTTCATTTCCTTCAGAATGTAATTATAACAGCTTTATATGATAGATATAAGAAGATGTGGTACGAGTGCCAATGAGACAACTCTCCATCCAAGTCACAATTTGAAAAAGTAAACCATTATAGGTCAAAGTACGGTCTTCAACACGGAGCCTTGGCTCACACCAAACAGCAAGCTATAAAGGGCCCCAAAAATGACTAGTGTAAAACAATTCAAACGGGAAAACCAACGGTTTAATCTATATAAAAATCTAGAAACGAGAAACATGCATGCTGCATACATGTAGCATGAGATGCTTACCATGTGGACCCATCAGATCACGCTCCTGTAGTTCTTAAATGAGATTCCCTCAGTTTTTGCTATTTACCTTTTGCATTCTCTTCAAGGACTTTATGAGATTTGAACAGAGTAAAGACCTGTAGCATCTAATTCATATGTTTAAACTTACGCTGATAAAATGAATATATCCTTTGCCTGCTTTGTAGTAAAATCAGACTAATTTGAGGGGTAATGATTACCCAATAACTGGTTAAAAAAAATTTTGTTTCACTTTTTATTGTTGACATTCTTTTCTTTTAATAACTGAACACACTTACATGTAGGGCATGCATAACCCATCTTCAGTGTACTAACAGCGATTTATTATTTCATTATTCAGCTTTTATAACTGTTTGAAACAACAAAAATGTTGATATTTTTTCTAAATGACATTGAGGCAATGTCCCATTAAAAAATTTAAAGTATGATTGACAACTTGTCTGTTAGAGCTAATTTCTTTGCTTTGTTTGTATACACGTTTGCTCAAGCATTGTAATTAAGATCGACATCTGCAAACAATATAAATAGGCGGGGTTAAACCTGTATAAATTATATTTAGATTTGATTGGACATTATCAAGTAATCAAATTTAAGTAAAATGGAAAAACAGGTATAACACCGCCTATTTATATAGTTTGTAAATATCAATCTTAATTACAATGCTTGAGCACACAAAGCAAGCAAGCCAACCAAAGTATTAACCTACAAGCTTTAGGAAATTAGCTCTGATCTATACACTGATCTCGCGTTGTTTTTGGCGAATGAGTTATACCAGTTGATATGAGATCAATCACTATCAGTGTAAACAACGTCATCGAACAATAGGTTCTTACTGTGCATAATAACATAAGCATTGTGCCATAGGAAATTTATGAGAAAGTACACAAATTCAAAAGTCGTCAAATTATTTGGGTAACGGGTCCAAACTAGTCATATTTACCCAATCTTTATTCATGTTTACAGTGCATTAGATTTGTCTTAGACTTAGTACTTTCATGATTGTGTCACATCATTAGTTATTTAGCATTATGTGGTGTTTTACAATAAGGAAGCAATACATTGTAGAAAAAAAAAGAGGGGCAAATATTCTAGAATTTTCAATATCCCTTAGTGAGTCATATAAAACCTGTCAAAATAATCACTTCTGCTGATATTTTCGATTTTGAATGTCATAGTTCCCTTCTTGAAGTCGCCAAGATATATAGATTTAAATAGTCTTCTAGGTGTCATTATCATTTGGACTATAAATAAACAACAAGAAAATCTGTGTCAGATACAAAACAAGAATATAGTTGTCAGCTTGAAATAAGCAGGGCGATACAATGCAATTTCCAAGACGATCTCATAGAGTTTGGTAAAAATTAATGTCTTAATCATTCAACTTATTGTCTATGAAAAATTAAAAGGTGAAAGATAAAGGGAACTAGTGTAAAATTACGCACTTTTTCGGTCGTTTCGGACCCACGAGGTTGACAAATATGGCCGCTAACAAAAAAGGCTGTGTACGTCATGGAAAAACGAGTTCTAATCTTCGATCTTTGTTTTAAAAAAGGCAAAATTTCGCAAACAATCTAAATATTTAACTTAAAAAAATTCAATAAAAAAACCCAACAAAATATGTATTTTTTTTCAAAAAACAAAACAGACTATTGTTTTAGAGAGTAAACACATATACGTCACACTCAGATGTTCATTCTGTGAAGAAGGCGCGAAATTCTCTCACACACTTTGCCTGTTCCTCTCTGTGCTGACAGCCATGACTGAAGTGGAATCTGCAAGCACCAGTGCTTCATCTGGAAAAGACAGGTGTGAAATAAGCAACACTTAGTTAGCTGTTATATAAGTGTTTAAATTATAAACGGTTGTCCACAAATGTATAAAAAACTGGCTTTGCCTATTTACAGTACTAACAGTTTTATCCCATTCATTACTTCAAGTCTTCATAACTTATCACCTATACAATATTTGCTATGACCTATGTCTAATCTATACGATTGTATTTTATATGAAGTAACATATTTAAAAACAATTATTAAGACATTTGTGGTCAGAATTTAGCAAACCTTTTGTTTAAAAGACAAAGAAATCAGAAGCACCTTTGTTTATTTGGTAATATTACTAATAAATTATGTCTACAAATGTGAAATGATGTTTTTTTCAGTTGATAAGAACATGCTTAATTATGTATTCTTAATAAAACCTTTTTTACTTTTTGTTTTGTTGGTTTCAGAAATATATTTAAAGTATGTTTTTAATTTACTTTTACCATTGAAAGGTAGGACAGTCTATACGCCAAAAAAATGTAGGTAAGGAAAACATCTTGCTTTTTTTTTCAAATTGAACTATAGTCTTTACTCCAGCTTTTATCTCACCTATGGGAAGTAGCAGAGGGCAGACTAAGGTATGCTCTTTTAGGCAGTGTCAGCATTATCAGGGGCTGCTCTGGCTCCATAAAAGTTGGAGCCAGAAAAATCGCCAGCTGCTGTATTTTGTAGCCAGTTTTGAAAACTTGGAGCCAACTTTAGAGCCAGCAAGAGTCTTGATTTCTTCTACCAAAATTGAAACTATGTTCAAATTAAATTTTTATGCACTCAGCCTGCACTGTACATCATTTAACATGTTACACTAAGGTAGTTATTGCATAGGGTTTATATACATGATAAAAACGTGTACTTTTGTTTTCTTTGTCAGTATTTCATATGTATAAAAATTAAAATATAAAAATAAAGATTAAAACAAAAGCAACTGTTTTTTCCACAAAACAGCATATTGTATGTTTTTATTTGAATGTTTATGTCTCCAAACAGTGACTAATGCAGTAATGGGACTTGTATAATGACTATTGTCATTATAATTAACTTATGGTCTGTATATACTGCAAAATAGAGAAAATATTTTTTTAATAAAAAAAATAAAGAATAGAAAAAAAATGGGTAATTAAATGAAGAAAAGAGAATAATGGGTGTTTAGATTTTCAAAATAATGAAAATTTGTATTAGAAATAAAGAATACAGAAAATGATGACCAAAGCACCCTACCCATCCTGCTACCAAGACCCTCTTAACTTTGCCCATGTTTCAAAAAACCTCCTAAACATATAACTTTCTAAAGTCAGAAGTATGTAGACATATCTTGAGTAGGTATCTCAATACTAGGAAAAAATAAAATTGAGTTATCTTTCTTTATTCGGGTGTACTCCTTCTTTGGAGGATTATACACAGTACGCAGTAGAAGAAAATACGATCAACAATGGCAGCCGGTTTTGTTATTTTCGTATCAAAAGTGAGGGCAGGCAAAGACCAATTACGTCTGAATTTGGTATTTTTTACGGAAAACAAGTAAAACGATGTTTTTTTACAAGTTGATTATGGTAATGGACTTTCTGTCAATTACGTTTTATTCATGAAACAACGGTAAACATTGCAAATTGTGTTGTCGTATGAAAAATTCTTGATAATATTTGAATGAAGTAATGTTGATGATCATTAATCAGTGTAAATACCCATCCGATAAACTGATTACCTGTAACAACAGATTATGACACCTGTTGTAACCGTTGATTAGCTTGGGGTCATAACAGTCATAAAGTTGTCGCCAGGTAAAATTTAGTACAATTTATTTTTTAACTTTTACCAATTTAAATGAAGATTGATGTTGTTACCGTTACAGTCAAGAAATGATAATTTTGACATAGGAAAATTTTGGCGCCAGCAGCTGTATTTTGTCGCCAGATTAAATAAAAAATCGCAAATTGCGACATTGGCGACGCCCAGCGCAGTCCCTGCAGTATTCAAGTTTGTGATTGGGTTGGGGGAACCACTAATGGTAAGTCAATGATATTTGGTATGTTTATGTATTTATAAGTATAAGATCTCTCATAGCCAAGAAGATTATAACTTACTAGAGAAAACCCGCGCGAGCGCGGCTTGAAGACTACTTGAAATGTTTATGGTTATACACAGCTTGGGTTCGTGTTTCTCAAGACTGTTTTTATGCACTGATGCATTATGTTGATAGATATAAGAAGATGTGGTATGAGTGCCAATGAGACAACTCTACATCCAAGTCACAATTTGTAAAAGGAAACCATTATAGGTCAAAGTAAGGCCTTTAGATAGTTTTTATTATGTTGTCAGTTCTTTTTCCATAGGAGTTTGAATGTCCAATTAGTAGCTTCCGTCTCAGTGTTACACAGGTGCTCCTAGAACAGAGGAAATAACTCTTGAGAAGAAAAAGACAACCTAGAACACTGATGATTAAAACATTTCTCAGTGGTGCTAGTATTTCTTTTTTTTCGAAAGGTGCGAGTCAAGTTCTGTCGGTGTGATACTGGTGCTCCAAAAACGGAGGAAATAACTAAGAGAAGACAATCTAGAACACTCTGATGATTTAAAACATTCCTTCAGTGGTGCGAGTTCTGTCTCGGTGTGACACAGGTGTTCGAGAAAGGAGGAATTTACTAAGAGAAGAAGAAAACAATCTAATGATTAAACACATTTCTTTGAGTTTGTTATATTTCTTTTTTTTTGAATGGTGCCAGTTTGATAAAGTGATGCAAGTTGTGATAATTAGTGAGTGTTCGAGTGGTGCGAGTTGGCCGTTGGCCGAGTTTGTCATAAATTCAAGAAACCCGCCCGAGCACGGCTTAAGACTAATTGCAGTGTTCTCGAAAACCGTCGGTCCTGACCGCCAAAAATTGGCTAGGACCCACCATTGCATGTGAAGTGGCAGTCCTGATGACCGACAAAATTTGGGTGGTAGTTCACTTTTATTTTACATCTTTTCGGTATTCAGATAGCTTTTGAACTGGTTACTTATGTAAACAAACTGGGTTTCTCAAATTTTTTTTTGTGCAATGATGCATAATTTCTGATTGTTTTTATTAGTTTGTCAGTTTGTCTTCAATAAGAAGTTTGAATGTCCAATATTGCGAGAAAGTAGGAATTAACTAAGAGTAGACAAAAACAATAGAATTTTCTGATGATTAAAAATTTCTTCGAGTTTGTATGTAATATATCTTATTCCCCTCTCGTGAATTAAGCTTGGTTTATCACTGTTTTTATTCCACTGTATGTAAATATTGGTAGTTAAACTAAGGTTTCATTGGTGTAGAGTATCCCATGTGACATTTTTGATTCAGCCATGCTGGATCTATGCGATCACACTGGTTTTGGAGATGGTGCAGAATACTAAGTTGAAGACATATCATGAAACTAATTATGTGTTTTTATGACTTGCAGAAACTTTCTACATCATTTTAATCATCAACTGCCAACTTTTGACATGTTATTTGCCCTTAAATTAAGAAAAGATTGGCCCAACAACCCTTTTATCATAGATATACACTTGCATAAAGTTCCTTTGTAAATCAAAATTTATAATGATTTACTATTTATGAATTAAGTTGAAAAAGTATTTGTACATCAATTGAATCAGTTGAAAAGAATTTTGAAAGTATTATATTAGTATCTAATGCTTGTGTAAGTTATTGTTCAATGACATTTGGGTCAACGTGTATTAATATATCTAAGTTGGTTCCCACACTTTTTTGAAATGGTATTACTCCCAATTCTTTCCATAGGCATGTTAGAGTCAGTATGAGAATCAACTGTCATGATTTTCAAATAATTATACTCAAAGGTGTGAGTATCAATTAGAAACAACCACAGTCTTATTGACCACAGTTAATATCTCATGATCTGTTACATAATTAAATAGACACAATTTATTACACACCTAACTGAATACATACATTCTTGACCTCAATAGTAAACCTCCAAATGTATTATTTATTTTGATCGACACTACATTAAAACATTCTGTTAATTTTGCTAGCTAGCTGAATGATTAATCAGATGTGGGTTTTTTTCAAAGAAAAGACAAACATTGAAAAAAATATGTATAAAAAATGCAAGCAAATTTTATTTCACTTGTAAAATCAGTGTCATTATCATCTGACATAAGTCAATAATTAAGTTCTAATTAATTAGTTACAATTATCAGAAATCTGGTTGAAACAATAAACAAAATTGCATAACTCTTACCTGAGCATTTTCTGCAATAAAATTGATTTGTTTGTTCTACATTTATATCCAATTATATTGCTATTTAACAGCAATTGCAAGTATCTCAGCATTAGGTATTTGTACATTTAAATTTGAATACAGGAAATGTATTTTTTTCTTACAGAAGAATGAACACCAATTTAGATAAAAAAAAAGTTTTTTTTTTTTAATTTTTGTTGTTGAAGTGCATTTCCAAGGCCTCTTTCTGGAAATTATTAAGCCAGTTATTATTAATGGCATATAAAAAATATATTACTTGTTTGATGATTTCCCTTTCCATTCTTGTCAATATCATTAAATTGCAAATATTTATAAAAAAAAATCTGACAAGAGTCTAAAATTGAAATATCAAGATATATATAATATATATTTGCATCAATATTGCGAAATTTCCTACCTTTGGACAATAACATAGAAATTTTACAGTAAGATTGGAAATGAAAAGAGAAAAAAATATTGAAAAAGAATGGTCAGAGAGAATATCAGACTAGCTATGAATATGGCTGGATCACAACATCGACGATGCTTTGATTTAAAACTTCATATTCCCCTCTCGTGACGTTTCGCGCGGGTTTTCACTGTTTATGCAACGTTGCAATAAAGGGATTTGAATAATTTTATGTTCGGAAATCAAAAAAAGGTAAAAGCAGTGGAATAAATCATTTATTTCCCTTGGCTACGGGAGATAAGAAGATTTCTTCACCCATGAAAATCATATTTTCTTGGGTGAACAAATCTTCTTATCTCCTTAGGGCAAGAGAAACAAATGTACAATATTCAGCATGTCAAAGAGCCAAAATAATTCCATTGTTGATGAAATAATTTTTTGACGTAAAATAAAACGAAATTAAATTAACTTTTATTTTGGACGGAAATGGACCTCAATGTAGACCAATTTAAAAATGGGGCACAAAATCCATAGTGCTGAAATCAAACATTTGAACGTTGATGAGAACTAATTTGAAAACAGGGTGTAAAATAAACGGTTGTATTCAGCATATTAACAAAATATATAAATCATTTTTTGATGAATGGACGGAAAATGAAATGAAAATTAAAAGAAGTTTTATTTTGGACCCTTTGGACCTCAATGTGGACCAATTTAAAAACAGGAGCCTGGACACAAAATCCAAAAATGAGCAACGAACCTTCCTGAGGCCCTCATAAAATACAATCAGCATGAAATATGTAAAACAAACAAAATTTTTTAACTCTGTAAATGCTCTGTGTGTTATGGAATTAAATTAGCTCCATTGATTCATGGCCAGTCTTAGTATATGTACAGAATTAATTTTATTTCTAAAGTATGTACATGTATGCGCCCCCAAAAAAAATTTAAGGTTACGAAAACTGAACTGTCCAACGACGATAATTGACTGACATAAAAATACTAACAACTTTTTTAGTTTTCGTAACCTTCGAACTTTTTTTTTCAATTTATGCTCCAAAAGTAACATTCTTGCTATTCTTGCTATGTTCTAAATTTGAAGTAATTTCATTGAAAGTTGTTAACATTTTTATGTCCGTCAGTAAATTGGTCAGTAAATTAGTCAATCTTTTAGTGTAACTGAAAATATTATTATATAAATAAAATCATGGTTCTAATGCCTTTTTCCAATAAATAACTTTCTGTGTTGGTGTCATTCTTTCTGGTAGCTTTTGCGCATATTCGCAACGACTGCATTGGGAGGAGAGGGAGTTGTTCCAAAACAGCACAATGCATTACCCTGAGGGTGCATTTCACAGCGACCACATTCCTGTTGGGGGAGGAGAGGGGGTGTTCCCAAACTGCACAATGCATTACCCAGATAAATAAAATCATGGTTCTAATACCTTTTTCCTATAAATAACTTTCTGTGTTGGTGTTATTCTTTCTGGTAGCTTTGCGAGTATTCACAACAACCGCATTCCTGTTGGGGGAAGAGAGGGAGTTGTTCCAAAACTGCACAATGCATTACCTTGAGGGATCATTTCACAGCGACCGCATTCCTGTGGGGGGGGGGGGGGGGGGGAGAAGAGGGCGGTGTTCCCATACTGCACAACACATTACCTAGAGGGTGCATTTCACAACGACCGCTGGCAAGAATCTGTCTGTTAGGGGAGGGGGAGGGTACATCTTCACAACTAAGGGAAAGTGTGTGTGTGTGGGGGGGGTCCAACCTGCACAATGCATAATCTGTTTTGAATTCCGAGTCCAGAGCTATTTTCTGACTTGGCGGCTAAGTAAAAAAATAGCTCCGGACTCAGAAATCAAAAGGAATTACACAATGCATAGCCCTGAGGGTACATTTCCAACGACCGCCCTTCTCTTCTAATTAATATTTGCATATCCCAAGTCTGTAAGTTTGATTTTAGTTCAATTTTTCAAGCTAGACTACACCTTTTTTCGGATAAATATTTTTTTTCTTTTTTTGTACCTTTTGCACATGCTTAAAACAGATTCAAAACCATTTCTGCCTGCTTGCAAAACTTAGAGGGTAAGGAACGAGCTACGGAACTTTATTTGGGGTTTAATTAATTAAGCTACGCTAATTAAAGCAATTACTATATGAAGTTATAAAGTACATTACATACACTAACTATTTATTATTATATAATACTTCAGACGATCGTCGGCTCGGAGACAAAGCGGCTTAAAAAAATTTGGTCTCCAAATTTAATAGTATAGATAAGGCCCAGCCATCTCAGACTATTGACTGAAACTTTTGCATAGTTTACACGGGGATTATTATAGCCCAAATGGGATATAAATTTTGACTATTTTTCAGTGCAAATACAGGTTAATATCAGCAATATCTAGGACAAGTTCTGTAATGGTGGCCGATCGACTTTTTTTAAAAGAGTTGTGCCCCTTGGAAATATTAAATTTTTGGAAAATGGCCTCGTTAACGCTCTTACGGGTACAATTCTTGCCAGATTTTTATAAAACTTATACTATAAGTAATTATCAGCAATACCTTGGACAGGTTCTATAATGGTGGCTGTTAGATTTTTTTTATAAAGAGTTATGCCCCTTGGAAATTTTAAATTTATGGAAAATAGCCTTGTAAGCGCTCTCACGGGTACAATTCTTGTCAGATTTTTATAAAACTTATACTATATGTTAATATAAGCAATATCTCGGACAAGTTCTATAATGGTGGCCGATCGAAATAAAAAAAAATTATTATGTTGGCAGATGAATATGTGCAACGCGGGGGACATTGAAACTCTTGTTCTTTTATTATGAAACTAATATCATATGTTTATATCAACAATGTCTTGGAGGAGTTCGAAAATCAGTGCCAATCAATTATTTTTGGGTAAAGATTGCATGAAATGCAATCAAAACCCTATGGTACTGACTTGATATCTAAATCTTCCAAGGTTTATCACTACTTTTGAGATACACAAAATACAGTGCATTGATCATAACATTCTATACATCAAATCCATGAACATTTCCAGAAATTTATCAATGAAATATATGCTCAGATAATAAATTTACAAAATGATGTTATACTTGTCAAAAAAATAACATAACTTGTGCAAGGTGCAGGAATCTAATATCTGTTCTAAAAATGTCAATGATGTCATTGTTAAAGTAAAATTGCATTGTGAGTGCTCTCATGTGTACAATTTTGCCATATTTTTATGATATTATATCATAGGTTTATATCAGCAATATGTCTCAGACAAGTTCGAAAATAATTTTTATTATAATATAATATTTTTAGCGAGTGATGCCCCTTGGAAATATTATATCAGGAATTGCATTGATTTGCTCTCAAGCCTTCATTTCTCAAAGATATTTATAAAAGTTTTAAAGAACAAAAGAAAGTTTTTTTGAAGTTATTACCCTTGGACCTTAGACAGATAAAATATGGGGGACATTGGAACTCATTTCTTTTATTTTGATTTATCTGTATTTTGGAGTAAATTATGGGCTGAAAAAACGTCCATATTTGTCAATTCCATCTGAAACCATTAATGGCAACTTACATATAATTGGTATGCTGTTGACATGTATTTTCATGGAGATAATATGGCCCTGCCCCCTCATCATGGTTCATTGACTTTTGAAACTTTTGCCTTGTTTACATGTTAAAAATTTGTGGTTAGTTCAGTTTAAAGGGAACCACTTGTGAGAAGCCGGAGCTATTTTCTGACTTGGCCACTAAGTCAAAAAAATAGCTCCGGACTCAGAATTCAAAAGGAGTTAACTGAGTCATAAATATTGGACAAAAAGGGCTGTGTGCATCTTGATAATAGCTGAGTACAAACAATTTGTGCAGTTGCCAACTTGAAAATGTTAAAGGCCCTGCATCCCCTGGATATATAAACAAATAATTTGACCAACAGTGTTTTTCACAGATTGAATTAGAAGATCAGCAACATAATCTCGATGACAGTTGAATATTTAGGTTGCTGATGTTGAAATTAGATATGTATATGTTACAATCAATATATTGATATGCATTTCTTAATATAATTTTAGAATGGAGGCCACAGCAGAAGCCAGTAAGGTTTTGTCACAAGGTAAACGAAACTTGGTTTGTGGAGAAGTACCAGCTGCTGTAAATCAGTTCCAGGAAGCTTGTAAAATATTGTGAGTTGTATGTATACAGAGATGGAAAATTAACTCCCAATTGTCCATGATGACAAAAAATCTGGGTATTAATATTTTTTATTTTTTCATATGCCTGCTCGTGTTAACAGACTATATACATTGAAAATCACAAATAAAGGGCCCAGAAATGATAAGATTAACATAATAGTGAAGAGTACAAGGAAACTTCCACTTTTCCATTACCCGAGGGAAATAAATTCTGGAATGGGTAATGGAAAGTTTCACTTACATTCCTGTAATAAAGAAACTTCAATCAGTAAACTTGTCTAGCTCCAATACATTTTGTAAGTTAACCTGTTTAAACAAGGAATTATGTTTTTGTATCATACATAGAATATTTATAAAATAAACCAAAACTGTTTTGGGATATCAGCTCGACGATACAGTAAAGTAAAGCATTACCTAAAACTGCATGTCTGTAAGCAGCTGTCTCATTATAACATTAACAATACACAATCTACAAAAGAAATAATTTCTGTTGTTGAGCAATTCAATTATGTAAAATCTCAATTATGTTCACTTTTATCAGAATTCCAAGTCTAAATACATCAAAAACAAAGTCATCAACTCTGATAAACTATAAGTGGGTGGGTTCAAAAATAAACAGACTTAACTGCCTTAAAGGCAAGTGTTGAATAACACATAAGAAAACCTTGATTAACTGATACACTTCGTCCCTCTTATTTAGCTTTTAAATTTCTTATTAGACCTTAGTCACATGATACATGTCAAAACAAATACAACTTCATTTTATCATTTTTAAATACCGGTACATTTATGGTCAAAGGGGTCAGTCAGGCTTTTCATATCAGAACCGACAACCACTTGGCCAGTCCCCTTGGTGCCATTTATGGACACTCCGGGGGATCTTCATGTATCACAGCATATAGTTATATCAAACCCATTGTTTGATGATACTATTGTCAAATTTCATAGTAAAGTGATTTGTGTATTTCATCTATATAATAATTTTAAAAGTTCTACATTTGATACAGTATATAATTTAATATATGATGGCAATGTCCTATAATTTTGATAATTTTATAACATTGACTGCTAGACAAGTAATTGTTCTGTCAATTAATGAAAACATGTTGACATTTTAGAGCCAAAGCATATGGTGAAACAGCCAAAGAGTGTGCAGAAGCATATTTTTACTATGGCCAGTCATTGTTAGACTTGGCAAGGATGGAAACAGGAGTGTTGGGCAATGCTTTACAAGGAGGTCAGTTCAATATTGGATCCACTGCATGTTTACTTTGCAGTGGGTGTTCCTAGCATCTTGATGTACACAATGTATTCTGTCCATAACATATCATGTTTACTTTGCAGTGGGTGTTCCTAGCATCTTGATGTACACAATGTATTCTGTCCATAACATATCATTTACACATCTTTAACCACTTGTGTATAGTCCATTTATTCTATTTCACATTACTTCACATTAGATATCTATGAAAGTGATTTTTCGCTGCATTCCACTATTTAAGTTCTGATTTTCATTCAAAATATTTGAAAAAAGGTTCAAAAACTGAATAACGCTACATATTGTGTGTAGCTTGAAACCTAGAATTTCATTTGTATTGTACATTAATCTATGTATGTATTTAGATCAGTTTGTTGATCTGAATTCCGAATCTTAAACATCTTAGAATTAGTCCCATCCCCAACTGCTTCACTTAGATAACAAATTATGTCTTGTTTTAAGAACAAGAAAACTCTCTCAATGGTGCATACAGAGACATTTAAATTTTTTGAATGTGTACATGTTTCAAGAAAAGTGGACTGTTGAGAATTTGTTGTCAGATATAAACCGCCATATAACAACCATAAAATTGTTCAAGTTCTCGACAATCCACTTTTCTTGAAACATGTACACATTCACATAGGCCTTATAATACACAATAGAATTGACTCATTGTTGGTACAGTTTTATATAATAAACAACCTTTATAGCACACTTTATTTACCACTAATGGCTTAAAGTAAGCATTATTGATATAATAACTGTCAGAGAGAGTTGTGGACCTTATTGACTACAAATGATTGCCTGAAGGACAATGTTGATCAAACTATTACGGGATGGATGATTGATTGGAAGTCTTTCATTATCTTCCTTTAGTTCCTGAAGAGGAAGAAGATACTTCTAAAAGTGCTGACGAACAGTTTGAGAATGGAGACAAATTGGATGGTAAGGAATCATGAATCATATAGAAAAATTAACGTATAAAAGTTTAAATTGTGAAAAAAAGAAAGTATAGAAGGTAAATTCCTGTTGGATAATGAACTCAAAATACATGTACATCTTTACAGTAAACTATGTTATAAATATCAGTGCCAGCATAAAATTATTAGCTGGCTTGTATTTATCTCCAACAAAAATAAGATAAAGCAATCCATGTTAAAATTTTACCATTTGGTCTCTTATAGTAAATGTAGGAAAAACCCAACATGCAACTTTTAATCATCCATGTAAAAACCAGATATATACACTGCAAAATATAAAACATACTTTAAAGATCTGAATAGTAAAAATTATATTTTTTTAAGATTTATATAAAATATTTAGACAAATGCAAATATTAACTCCAAACTCATCAATTTTGTTAAAATTATTAGAATATTTTAAAAACTTGGATAGAATCAACTGCTTTCTATTGTGATAATATATATTGTTTGACTAGATGAGGTAATTGGAGTTGGAGTTATATCCCTTGGCTGTCGTGTTCAGGGCAAACTTGGTGATTTTTTTTATTTGGCAAACCAAATCAAAACGTGTGGTACAAGCAGCTCTGATAAGAGATCCTTACTAGATAGTAGTCTTACTCTGCTTAAACAGATTATGATTGTTCAGACAACAAAAACCACAAAATGAATGCCAGGAGGTCACTTAAAGTTAACTTGGTGTATATGGGAGGTGTGGGGTTATGTGAGCTTGCTCATGAACGGTATTTTAATTAGACAATCTGACAGTTTAAGTTGAACGTTGCTTAAAAATCAAAATATGTTCTTCAATTCTTCCATTGTCCTACATTTTAACAATTATCTATAGATCCAATATTAGAGACCATTTGACCTTCACTCAATTTTATTTTTGTGTGTCCAGTGGAAGAAAGAGAAAAACTGAGAATAGAAGTTTATGATGCAATGTCTGAAAAGGAAAAGGCAGAAAAATCTGATAAAGAGCCTTCAAATGGAGAAAAAATGGAAACTGATGAAAAAGGAGATGCTAAAGAAACCAAGGAGGAAAAAGATACAGAAGAAACTAAGGCGGAGGAAAAAGATGTTAAAGAAACCAAGGAGGAGGGTGAAAAAGTGAACGGCACAGAAGAGGAAAAGAAAGGTTACAACACACAACGTTGTCATTTACTTGCATGCTTGTTGTCACTTCACCTTTACAATGTTTTAGTTTCTTGTTTTTTAGTCACACCCTCACTGGCAATACATTCTGTATTAGACCCATGTTTTTATGTACAGTAACATTGGAAAATCAGCATTGGCGATGAAGCATTTCTTTTAGTATAAATTAAATGATAGGAAATCTTGATATTTGAACTATTTATGTTCCCAGTGCAGGAATTTCTCAATTGCATTTAATTGTTATGGTTAAGGGTTATGTTTACTTAAACAGCACCCTTTGATTGGTTTGTAAAAAATAATTATACAACTCCCAAACTGTTGAGAATGAAAGTTCCTATGCTGATTACCATAGATTTGTTGTTCAGGTAATGATCGCATTTCATGCAACCAAAAGCCTTATTTTGCTGGCTTGATAGCTATATCTTCCAAGCCTCAAATCTACCTTTCAAAGTTATAACAATATAGTGCAATGAGTTGAAAAATTCTTTAGATTCAAATCCATGCCCATGTGAAGCAATTTATTGTTGAAAGCGAGACATAGTGATCTAGATACTGTTGTCGGCGTTGTCAACATTAAGGTTCAGTCAGTGGTTAAAGTTTTTTTAGACATCAATAACTTTGTCAAACCTACATGGAATTTTATTAAATTTGGACAGAAGCTTGTTTTTGACCAAAATACAGTATCAAGAGCAAAATTTTGAAAATATTTATTTTCATTTTCTGTATTTTACTGATAAATGGACTTAGTTTTTTTTACAGTTAACATTTAGATTTAGTCGGAGGTTACAAACCTACATGGAATTTTATGAAATTTGGACGTAAGCTGGTTTATGACCTAAAGACTATTTTGTTTTTATTATTCCGAATTTTACTAATAAATGGACTTGTGTTTTTTTTTTTTACAGTTAACACTCCGGCTCAGTCTGAGGTTAAAGTTTTTTAGTCAATAACTTTGTCAAACCTTTATGGAATTTTATGAAATTTTAACAGAAGCTTGTTTATGACCAAAATACAGTATCCAGAGCAAAATTTTGAAAATACTTATTTTCATTTTTCCATATTTTACTGATAAATTGACTTGGTTTTTTTTCTCGAGTTAACAAGTAGATACAGTGTGAGGTTAAAGTTTGTTACACATCAATTACTTGGTCAAACCTTCATAGAGTTTTATGAAACTTTGGCAGAAACTTTTTAATGATTAAGAAATTATGTCTGAAGCAAACCTTTCAAAATATATTTATTTTCATTTTAGTAATTTTCTGATAGATGGACTTCGTTTTTTACAGTTAGCATTTACAGACGGTCTTGGATTAAATTTTTTTGACGTGATAAATTTGTTAACTTTCATGGATTGTTATGAAACTTGGACAGAAATAGCATCTAAAGAAAAAGTATATTTAAGTGCCAATCGGGCAGTGGTGAAAACATGACCAACAAAAACCCTCTCAACTTTACATGAATTTAAATTCAAAATGTATAATGGATATAACATTCATTTCCTTTTCCTGTTCTGGTATTTCAAGAGATAATTTGGTTGAAATGCACTAGAAACGAATAATTATGGGGAGATAACTCCGTAATTTGCTATTATTCAAACAAAAGTTATCTAGATATTTCTTGAATTACCAGATATGCAGAAATGAAAGACCTACCATTCTTACTCAGGATGAGGGTAACTTTGAAATAGGATGGTAAGGTTGGTGGGTTTTTTTATACGCCCATTTACGGGACGTATTATTGTATACCGTTGTCCGTCTGTCAACAACATGTCGGACAATAACTCAAAAACGCATTAACCAATTTGCATGAAACTTTGTTGAATTGTTTATATCAATTGTTGTGAGCTGCCTTTCGATTTTTATAAATTTTCGATTTTACATTTCCAAGTTTTGGGGGTTTATTCATTAAAAAAGGGGGATTTTCCAGTTTTTCGTACAAGAACTCAAAAATGCTTTGAGCAGTTTTCGTGAAACTTTGGTGACTATTTTATATCTATTAAAATAACCTCCCTTTAGTTTTTATACGACCACAAAAAAAATTTGTGGTTGTATATTGGTATGACGTTGGCGTCGTCCTAAGACACATTGGTTTTCGCACTCTAACTTTAGTTTAAGTGAATGGATCTCTATGAAATTTTACCATAAGGTTTAATACCACAAAAGGAAGGTTGAGATTGATTTTGGGGGTTATGGTACCAACAGTTAAGGAATTGGGGGCCAAAAATAAGCATTTTTGTAACTTCCAGACAAAACTTGTGTGTTAGTGTATGGATCTCTCTGACTTTGTACCACAAGGTTCAATATCACAAAGGGAATGCTGGGATTGAATTTGGGGGTAATTGCCTCAAAATTTTAGGAATTAGGGGCCAAAAAGGGGCAAAAAACAAGCATTTTTCTAGTTTCAGGACAATAACTTGTGTGTAAGTGTATGGATCTCTCTGAAATTGTACTGCAAGGTTCGATATCACAAAGGGAAGGCTGGGATTGAGTTTAGGGGTGATGAATCATTAGGAGGTTCAAAAAATTTGGGGGGGGGGGGGGGGATTTTTTTTCCTTTTTTTTTTCTTTAAAATTTTCCATTTCTGATTTATATATAAAAGCAAATAATAATGATATGGTTTGAATAGGTAAATTCAAAATTTTTAAGTTCTTAGACCACATTCATTCTGTGTCAGAAACTTATGCTGTGTCAAATACACAATCCAAATTCAGTGCTGTATCAAGCTTGACTGTTGTGTCCATACTTGCCCAAACTTCAGGGTTTCGACCTCTGCGGTCATATCAAGCTGCGCCCAGCAGAGCATTTTATTTTATAAATTTCTGATATGACATTTGAGAAGTTGTGGAACTTTATTCTTGTTAAAGCGACTGGCGTATCATGCGCTCATGGCGCAGCTCTTTATTTTGGTTATGTTTTGAAATTTTTCTAAATTGCCTGATTCTTGGCACTTAAGTTAAAAAAAAGATGAGTATAGCCATTCTGGTCAATTAAACTTTTATTACATATTATATTATGTGAATGGTGTAGTATAAAATTTAATAAATGTTTCAAGTTTAAACTACAATTATAGACAAATGAAGATAACTCAATTCAAAATATTTCTGAAATGTGTTCCATTGCAATTCAATGTTTAAAGTTTGAATTGCAAAATGAAAGCAATTTGTATCTTCAGTACTCGCAAGCACTTTGATAATGGAAATGTCTTCAAGGATTAAAGTAGATCTGCATGATTGGTCCAAGGGATGTCAGTTTGAAAGCATTTTTAGTCACATGGATGCTTGAAATATTCAACACCTGGTCAATGCATCAATATACAGTTCATTTCAGTTAGAAGGGAATAGTTACATTTCATGAATTTCTCAATCCATTGGATAAATTTTCATGTTTTAATGCTTCTTTCAAAGCTTAGACATTTTATCATTTTAGATTTCAGTTACCATTGTGATTAACTTTCAGCATAACACAATGCCTGCCAAAGAGGTCTATTATAACATGACTTCTGCTTTGGTAGAAAAAAACTTATTTATCCTATGTAATTATGTACCAATCTGCCAAAGAATCAGACAGTGGTGAAAACATGACAAATAAAAACTCACTCAGGTTTACATCAATTTTAGTTCAAAATGTAAAGGTGCATGCATAAAACATTCATTTCCTTTTCCTGTTCTGGTATTTCAAGATATGATTTGGTTGAAATGCACTAGAAATTAAAAATTAAGGGGAGATAAGTCTGTAATTTGTTATCATTCTAACCCAAAGTTATCTAGAGATTTCTTGATTACCAGACAGGCAGAAGCAAAATAAGGATTTTCAGATGAATACAGAATTTAGGGACATCAAAAAAATAGCAGGGAAAATGTCATGTAGCATGTTGTATTTCACATACTTAATTTGTTTAAGTATACACACCATGAAAATTAATGGACATTAACATGAAGAGTATTCCTTCCTTAAAATTATTGTACTACCCTTTGTTATCCACTCCTGTAACTAGTTTGTATATTGCTTAGTATTTGCCACATAGAAAAAAGTGTTGGGTGCCCTGCTCATTAAGATTGTAATTTTCTTATGTCTAATGTATGGTAAATAAACTGTACATAGCAATCTTGGATTGTTAAATAGCAGTACACAATCGGAGGAAAAATAAGTAATTTATTGCGTTATAAAGACTGTTTTAACAAATACCAAATATTTGTTTCTGTTCGAATCAATTTTTCAACTTAGCCATTTAAGGGTAGATAACTCTAATAATATATTTTTTATAAAGGAATGTTAAAGAAATTTAAGTTTTTTACTTGTAGCAAGAACAAAAATTCAGTGACACCAAATTATCTCTTTATTTTCTTGAAGCATATTATAAAATCTATCTTCTCATTTCTTATTTCAAAATTATATCTCTTTGATTTCTTTAATTCACAAAAAAGTTTTTTCATGAATAATCTATACAATATTAGGCAATTTTTGCACAACTTTTAGCTTGAAAAATAGCACATTGACCCGTACCTTTTATTATATTTTTGATAAAAGCAGGGTAAAATCTACATTTTGGCAAAGTATAAGAAAATTCTATCTGAGGAAACATATACCGATGATCCACCTCAATTACTACTACCCCAGGTTGCAATATCAATTTTTATTTTCTTGAATTGTTGTAACAGTTTGTTTTGTAATTTAATGTAAAATAAACCAATTAAACAAAGATTTATTTTTATTTTGTTTTTTTATTTCATCAATTAGCATGCACTTGGGCTCCTTAAGATATTGTCCAAGATTGTCATTTCAGTTCTTTCCATCTTTCAGGTGATAAATGTAATTACTATTTAAAAAATGAAAATAAACTAAAGTATTTCTTTCCATCATTATACTGAAAAATAGGTTGATTTAAGTGATTACTGTGAATGGCCATTATAAAGATAAATTGATTAGCTATAAAGGACAACCAAGGTTGAATCCAGGTAAATTAAATGTTTTTGACTTGGGAGTAGAAGTCCTCAAATTCTATCATAAGCATTTGACGAAAAAGTCGGAAAAATATATGTTGATAGGAACTAGTTGAAATCTGAAAAGCAAGCAAATTTGACATTGTCAAGATTGATGTAAAGAAGCTATTACTTTGTTATTTGTTAGTGTTCAACAGCTGTAACTAAGCGACTACATGAAAAGGGGGACATAGTAAAAAAAACAAACATATCAAGGAGGAAAAAAAGTAAATACTGTTTGCAGTGACTACTTAGATTCCAAGTTTTTGGTGATCAAATGTTTTCTTTAGTTCTACTGTTGTAATGTGAGAAATATGTATATTTTCAGAAGGTAAGGAAGAGGAACAGGAAGGAGATACTGCAGAAGAGGGAGACACGGCAGAGGAGGGTGACACGGCAGAAGAAGGTGACACGGCAGAGGAAGGTGAGACAGCAGAGGAAGAGGCTGCTGAAGGAGAAGACACTGCTGAGGAAGGGGAAAAGAATAAAGAGGTAGGTGACCCTGTGAAAATGTGTGTACAATGGGGAATAAATGTGTAAATGTGTGGATGATAAGGGGTACCTTAATAATAAACACATGGCTACACTTAAGAGAAAGAAAAGGAAAATGCTGAATGAAGAACAGAGACAATGGAAGAGAGGTGGAAGATGCCAAAGTGATAGCCAAACTCGTCCGTTGAAAAATAACTAAATGCCATAGCAAAAAAGAAACTACAAAACATAACATAGAAAACTAGACCAGCAAGATCATCTCTAATAAAAAACCAAGGTAATCTTAGATGCTCCAGAAGGCTAAGCTCCTGTTCCACATGTTGCACCCGTCATGTTGCTCATGTAAGTACTAACCTAGTGTGATTAACATGTTGGATACTATAGGAAGTTCATCTGGTATAAAGATTTGAAAGCTACAAATGAATGCTTGATATAGAGAGCTGTTCCAAAATGTAACTTGGTTTGTTTGGAGGAAGGGGGAGAGTTGGATGGGTGACACTCAAATTATTAATTGTGGGTGGTTGCATTTTATATTATGAGTGGCTGGGGTCTTACATGCATGTCATTCTGGAACAAGCCTAATTTGATTGTTCCAAGTTACTGATAAGTTATTTGAATCAAAACATACTATTGTCATATTTATAAACTCATAGCAGTGTTACATAATACAAAATTCCTAATATATTACTTGCAATAAATTGATTCAATTTTTTTGTTATATTGGCAGAAAGAAGAGGACCCTGATGATGTTTCTAACCTACAGCTGGCATGGGAAATGTTAGAATTGGCTAAAGTTATATATCTAAAGTAAGATATTTGTATGACAGTTTGGTGCTTCTGTCATATTTTCTATTTTAATATAAGGAAATAATTCATTACATATGTTTTGATTGTATAATGAAGGACTGGAGTATCAGTTTTTGGAATGGTTTGAAAGTGATTAGTTTCAATAACATATTATCAATTGAAACACATTAAAATACTGAATAATTGGTACATAACTTGCAAGTTTTTGTTTGACACTTCATACTTGTCTGGTCTCCTAGACCTCATTTTCCCCATGCCATTGTATTTAAGTTGAGGATATTTTCTTAATTCCTATAAGTAATGTCAACTATATATATATGTTTGCTCAAGATCTTTAGTTTCAAATTTGCACTTGTGGAAATACATGACAGTTTCGATATTTATTGGGAGGAGATAATACATTGTTTTAAAAGAACATTTATATTATTTATGTTTTTTTTCTATACAGAGAGGAAGATAAGGAAGCCAAATTAAAAGCTGCAGATTCATATCTGAAACTTGGTGAAGTTAGCTTAGAAACTGGTAAATAGTAGAGACTTAATTTGTTTGAATATGAAATTCATGTTTTTTGATTGATCATTATTTGTAATTAAAAAAATCATGAAAATCCAGGCAACATTGTAGAACCATGGATTATTGTAGTATTCCTTACGTTCCAGAAAAAGATGAGCATCACTTAAAAATAAATTATTAATTTTAGGTACTTATTTTTATTTTGGTAGTCTAATTTTCCAGGGGAACTTAAAAGGGATTCATATAAGATCAACAGAAAGTGCAGCCGTTGTTCGTTTTACAAGGAAGAACAAGAACCATTTCTAAACCTTAGTTTAAAAAGGAAGAACAAGAACCACTTCTAAACCTTAGTTTTACAAGGAAGAACAAGAACCATTTCTAAACCTTAGTTTTACAAGGAAGAACAAGAACCACTTCTAAACCTTAGTTTAACAAGGAAGAACAAGAACCACTTCTTAACCTTAGTTTTACAAGGAAGAACAAGAACCACAAGGAAGAACAAGAACCACTTCTAAACCTTAGTTTTACAAGGAAGAACAAGAACTATTTCTAAACCTTAGTTTTACAAGGAAGAACAAGAACCACTTCTAAACCTTAGTTTTACAAGGAAGAACAAGAACCACTTCTAAACCTTAGTTTTACAAGGAAGAACAAGAACCACTTCTAAACCTTAGTTTAACAAGGAAGAACAAGAACCACTTCTAAACCTTAGTTTAACAAGGAAGAACAAGAACCACTTCTAAACCTTAGTTTTACAAGGAAGAACAAGAACCACTTCTAAACCTTAGTTTTACAAGGAAGAACAAGAACCACTTCTAAACCTTAGTTTAACAAGGAAGAACAAGAACCATTTCTAAACCTATCTAGTGAGCTTCAGCAATAAATTTTGGTTTTAGGTTATGTGTGATTATGGCACAAGTGACCAGTTAAAAAATGTATGGATGGTGATGGTATGCCTCTGTGCCTCTATGCTCAATGCTATTAAAAGCCGAACCAATTTACCCCAAATGAAATGAAGAAACTGTAAAAAAATAATGCATTTGAATAGTGATTAATAAATCTTGACTTTCTGTAGGTTATTCAGTTTAGTCTAATGTGAAATGTTTAACAAAAGATTTTATTTTATTTCAGAACAATATGAACAATCAATATCAGATTTTAATGAATGTTTAAAAATTCAGAAGACTGTATTGGAACCTCAGGACAGATCATTAGCAGAAACGTATCCTAAATACTTATTTACACACACATCTAGTTCTTTGATATGTTGATAACAATTTGCATACATTCTTGTATTGCAGTTGCTCTCCTTTTTGGAAGTTCTCTTTTGTTAACCTCCCCAGGTCTTACACTGATTCTTTATTTTGACCCCTGAAAGCTTATTTATTCATATGAAATAATATAGATAAACTGCATGTACATTGGGTAAACATGCAGTAGAAGATATGAAAGGTTTTCTCTTTAACATGAGAATTCAGAAAATAACAACCAATTACCTACTTAAAAAAGGGTTGGAGCTATATGCCTACCTGTAAAATATGATTTTGATTAATTTTCTAACAATAATAGAATATCCACTAAAGTATACCAGCTAAGACAATGGACAAGTAAGTGACATGACAACTGAGCATCATGTAAAGCTGTGTTCTTTCAGTCAAGTATTTAGACTCTTATGAGTTGAAAGTTCTTCTGGATGTAATTACATATTGTTTTACTTAACATAACAAGATATTACCAGTTAGGATTAGCATACTGTTTTCACAAACTTTACGATGAATCAATAGACAGTTACAGAGCAGCAATCAAAGTTTTGGAAGATAGAATAGGTAAGTTCATTCTTCAGAACAGATGTATATAATGAAAGGTCACTTACCAAAGTTTGAATGACTTACTAATTTAAACATTTATAAACTCATCATTAGCAGCTAGTTCATTTGGTTGCTGGATTCAGGGCTGTTCCATAAAAAACTTATATGGCACCCAGGGAAAGCACTACAAAAACTATGGGTGTTTTCGATATATCTTTACTTAGCGCAGACTCAAGAGATGTACATATTAATGGATGTTACTATTTACCTCCCACGTAAATCCACATGTATCGTAACCTATGTGCAAACACTAGATGGATTTCGTTGTATTTAACTTGAAATTGAAAAAGAAACTACAGAACAGTTGTTCATATTCTAATGCATAACAAAAAAAATTAATGCATACGATCTTTAAAAAATGTATAAAATCAAAATAAGATAAAATTCCGCGAATTTTCATGAATGATCATGGCGCATTAACATCATGTTTTTGACGTCATAGGAATGAAAACTCGCAAGCTAAAGATTATTTAGTTACGTGTACGCTCTAAATTCGGATAATATCGCATAAAAATGGAGTTTTGAGGTAGGTGTTGTTTCTTCATTTTCTATTCTATTGCATCATTCGCTCATTCCTTAGTTACGACATGTCAACTGTGGATTTGACAGTAAAAAGTAGCCAATGGAAAAAAAAATGTTTGGGTAAAGAATTATAAGAATTGAACACATTTTTTCTAGTGGTTATTTAAGAAATAATTCATCCAAGCCTTAGATTTATTTGAAATTTGTAGCTTTTATCTTACAGGGGGTCAAATAGAACAGCCATACACACGGCAATCTTACCTTTGCTTCAGTTTTTCAAATTACTGTATTTGTCCTATAAGAAACGAAATAATTCATGCAAGCCACAAATTTATTTTCACAACAAATCTATGGCTTGCATGAATTATTTCTTAATTGATGCATTATGGTGAACACTAATTGCTCAAAATGATGTTTTAACTTTATACTTTATTTTAGCAAAATTAACAGACATTGTGAAAGGTGGTGGGGATGAAAAAGAAACTGCAGAATCCAAAGGTATGTCGCAGTCATTGGCATGGTAAAAAAAAAACTTGCAAGTATTAAAATGAACAGAAATACTTGTCAATACTAAAATAAATAGGAAGATGAAACCTCAATATTTACTATTTATTGTCCCCTGCTTAACGCTTTGCAGGGGACATGGAAATACTGTCCGTCAGTCTCGTCAGTGCTCTCAAGTGTACAATTCTTGCCAGAATTTTATGAAACTTGTATCATTGGTTTATATTAGCAATGTCTTGGACGAGTTCGAAAATCAGTGCTGATCAATTTGTTTTAAAAGAGTTATGCTCCTTGGAAACATTAATTATATTGAAAATTGCATCGTTAGTGCTCTCATTTGTACAATTCTTGCTAGATTTTTATGAAACTTATATCATAGGTTTATATTAGCAATGTCTTGGACGAGTTCGAAAATCAGTGCTGATCAATTATTTTTAAGAGTTATGCCCCTTTGGAAAATTGCATCGTTAGCTCTCTGTGTTCAATTCTTGCCAGATTTTTATGAAACTTATAGCATAGGTTATCAGCAATGTCTTGGACGAGTTCGAAAATCAGTGCAGATCAGTTAATTTTAAGAGTTGTGCCCTTGGAAATATGAATTATATGGAGAATTGCATTGTTAGCGCTCTCATATGTACAATTCTTGCCAGATTTTTTATGAAACTTGAATCATAGGTTTATATTAGCAATGTTCTTAAAGAGATCAAAAATCAGTGCAGATCAATTATTTTTAAATGAGTTATGCCCCTTGAAAATATTGACTATATAGAAAATTGCAATGTTATCGCTCTCATGTGTTCAATTCTTGCTAGAATTTTATGAAACTTGTATCATAGGTTTATATCAGCAATGTCTTTGACACTTTCAAAAATAAGTTCTGATCAAATATTTTCAACGAGTTATGCTCCTTGGGAATATAATTATAATGGAAATCACATTGCATTTGCTCTGAAGCCTTCATTTCTCTAAGATATTAATAAAAAGTCTTAAAGAACAAAAAAAAAGTGCTTGTTTATATATTTTGCGGTCGTATATTGGTATGACGTCGGCGTCACCGTCCGTAGACACATTGGTTTTCGCACAATAACTTTAAGTGAATGGATCTCTATGAAATTTTACCATAAGGTTAAATACCACAAAATGAAGGTTGGGATTGATTTTTGGGGGTTATGGTACCAACAGTTAAGGAATTAGGGGCCAAAAATAAGCATTTTTGTAACTTCCAGACAATAACTTGTGTTTTAGTGTATGGATCTCTCTGAAAGTTTCCATACCACAAAGGGATGGTTAGGATTGGCTTTGGGGGGTTATGGCTCAAACCGTTAAGGAATAATGGGGCAAAAAAGGGGAAAAAACGGGTTTTCTGGTTAATGGACAATTTAAAAGCAGTGTAAGGGAGGTAATCTAAAAACAGCATAGTGTATTGCACAAAAGCAAAAAATTGAATATAAATTCAAATCATATAACCAATTCTAAGTTCTTTGACTACAGTTATTCGGTGTCAGAAACCTATTATGTGTCAAATATTTAATTACAATCCAAATTCAGATAACAAGCACGAATATTGTGTCCATTTTCACCCCAACTGTTCAGGGTTGGACCTCTGCGGTCGTATCCAGCTGCACTCAACGAAGCAGTTTATTTGGTTATTGCCCTTTTACCTTGGATAGATAAAATGTGTGCAATGTTGGGGACATTGGAACTCTGTTCTTTTATTAAACATAAAATGGAAACTGTTGACTTGGCTTACAATTTGAAATCAGTGGTGTGGAAATACCATGCCTGACTTGTCCTGCTTGTCCCAAAATCTCTTGACAAATAACACAACCATTAGGGATAAGTTGTAAAAAAAATATCGTTATGTAGATTTAGTACTGAATTTTGATATTTCTACGTTGTGGTCTCAAGTATTTCAGAAAGAGTATTTAAAACTTGAATGCTTGACAAAATTTGAACACCGATTGTATATATATCTGTTCTGGAACTTGATTGTGCTGTGAAGGCAACATCCAGCATTTGAAATTCCTTTTTTCTTTTTATGTCTGTTTTATACACATCACTAAGCATATCAAAATGAACATTTGGTTTAAACAAGTTTTACAGTATCGATAGAATGTAATCTCTGTTTACTGAAGTGAAAAAGTAGTCCATTTTAATTATCAGGGGATCATAGATATTTCCCTCAACAGGATCTTTTAAGCTGTACAAGATTGTCAAGCAGTAAGTTTTGTATTCTTATTATGAAATAATGGCGATCATTTCCCTAGCAGTAACTATGAAGTTTTGTCTATTTGTAGATGATCCTAAAAAATCGGCAGAAAGTGAAATCAAAGAAATCAATGAATTACTTCCTGACATGAGGCAAAAGGTGAGCAGCTGATCAAAATACTGTAATGGCTTTAACTTTCAGTATCAACTAAATCAGTGGAAAGGAGCATTTTATTGACTCTGTTAACATAATGTTATGTCAGCCAACTTGTCCTATAACTACAAAGTTACAAATGCTTTATATTCACATTACTGCTTGTATCAGACTTTGAGAAAACTTGATATGTGGAACACTGTGTTTAACATTAAATGCAGATGTCAACCAATGGCATTATATGGAGGGGGAGATCTTCTTGGTTTTCTGTAAATCAAATTTTACTCAATTGTTCCTCATGCCAAGATGAATATCAAGGTAAGGTCTCTTTGTAGTATCAAAAGAAGAAAGACACTTGCTGAAATGAATTACATAATAGATAATAAATTTGTTTTGATAATGACCATTGTACTATTGAAGTGGCATTAAGATAAACCTGTTGTGTTTTTAAAAACAAGTGAGAAAGAAACATTCTCTGAAGCTTCATTTAATTTAAAGAGAAAAGAACCCTCCATTCCTAACTTTTCTTGTTAATAGATTGAAGATTCAGAAGAAGAAAAGAAAAATTATGAACAGTTAAAAGCAATGGCAAAGGAAGCAGTTGGATTTGTAAGTTATCATTTTATAAATAGATTTCTTTCATAGGAAACATAACAGTAAAAATTGAGCAAACTTAACAATTAACAGAAATACAACAAAATTTGCAGATGTCTGGCAAAGTGAAAAAATAGGCATGCATTACACATTTCTAGACATTTGGTTGGATTCCCACAGTTTCAAGTATATATTTTAATGCAAATGCATTGTTTCAATTTATTGAATTTTAAAGTTTTCAATTTATACATATTTGTCTCGCCTTGACGAAGTCAAAAAGTGAGACAGGTATGCTGTTTCCGGTGGCATCATCAACAATGTATTAGTTTGTGATTAGGTCTAGTTTATGGTAAACCACTAGTGGTAGGTCAATGAAATTTGGTATGCAGTTGTATTAGTATTGGCACATCTCATTTTCATGGAGATTATTTGGCCCTGCCCCCTCATTCATGGTCTATCGACTTTGAAAATTTTGCTTAGTTAACCTGTATTAGTTAGTGATTAGGTCAGTTTATGGGGAACCACTAGTGGTAGATCAATGATATTTGGTAAGCAGTTATATAAGCAATGGCATATCTCATTTCCATGGAGATTATTTAGCTCTGCCCCCTCAGTCTTGGTCTATTGACTTGAAAATTTTGCTTAGTTTACATGTATTAGTTTGTGATTAGGTCAGTTCAAGGGGAACCATTAGTGGTAGGCCAATGTTGATTGGTATGCAGTTGTATAAGCATTAGCACATCTCATTTCCATGGAGAATATTTGGCCCCGCCTCCTCAATCATGGTCTAATGACTTTGAAAATTTTGCCTAGTTTACATGTATTAGTTTGTGATTAGATCAGTTAATGATATTTGGTATGCAAATTTATTGGCATTTGCAAGTCTCGTTTCCATGAAGATTATATAGCCCCACCCCCTCATCATGGTTCATTGACTTGGAAACTTTTACATGTTTACAAGTTAATGTTTGTGTTTAGGTTTGTTTAAAGGGAATGACTTATGATAAGTCAATGGTATTTGGTATGCAGTTGTATTAGCATTGGCACGTCTCATTTCCATGGAGATTGTTTAGCCATGTACCTTCAGTCATGGTTCATTGACTTTGAATATTTGCATAACTTACATGTTAAAGTATTGCTATTTTAATTTCAACACTTGCATTATCAAAATTACAAAAAGGCGAGACATATCTCTGTGTTAACAGTTTATTTAATGTGAAACAATGAATATCATCAACAGAATAGTTTTCCTCATTGAAGTTTAATTGATGATTGATAAATGATAATTCCTGCTCCTTTTTCTTTTTGTTTTCTTTACATATGACACAGTGCTGGATTTTTAGTTTGTATTTACTGAAAAGTGAACTTAATAATTGTGCAACTATAAATGACAATTTTGGAAACAAACTGAGATAACTGTTACGGTCGTGGTATTTTCAGGCATGAAATAAAATGGATAGAACAATACAAAAAAGAATTAATAAATAGGATACAATGGCAAGATTTATCATTTTAAAAACCAAATATTATAAAATAATGATGTGAGCAAACTAGCACTTTTCTTACAAGTCTCACCACTTCTCCCTATCAGTTTCAAATAGAAAAGTCACTTCTCCCCATGATTCTGAAGTAGTGTGAGCCCTAAACAGTCTTTTAATTGTTTCTTTTGCTGCAATAACCATTCTTTAGTTGTGGCATCAAAATGGTAGTATTGGTAGCTTCTAGGTAAAAGCATTAGTTTGTTCTGAGCAATGCTGTTAGTTTTGTTATATACTTTTTTCAAAAATGATAAAATGATATAAATTTCATGCATTTGAAGCACTTTTCTGGGTTTACATTCATCAGGAACTCTCACAGCCGAATGTTTGAAAGCCAAGGATGTATAATAACGAAAACAGTTGAAGACCTATATGACAAAATAGCCAAATCCATCTAAGGTCAACTTTAGATGAGAAGATGTGGTATGAGTGCCAATGAGACAACTCTCCATCTTTGCCTGAGGTAGTTAAACCACAGTTTATAATTTCAAAATTTATTAACGGACAATTTTAGAAAGATTTGTTAAAAATACCATAAGAAACCCACTTCCAATTAAATGTATTCTAAAGTGCAGCTTACATGAACATTGAACTTATTTAGAGAGATAATCTTAACTGCTACAGTATTTTATAGGGATCAGAAGCCAAAGAATCAGAACAAAGTAAAACAGATAGTAAGGTATGTGTGTTAAGTGGAAACTTGAAAATTAAATTAATCAATGAAAACAAAAAGGAATCCATTCTAGAGAATTCTATTTCTCGTCTTCTGTCACATTCCAGAATGCAAGATAGAGAGGTGATAATCTAGAGATGATGTAATCTATTTGTATAACACTTTTTCATAAGGTATAAAACCTGGATATCTTTGATACAAATGCCTTGTATTCTGAAATATCCATCTGGCATATGTCCATTGTCCTTAATCTCAGTTTCATGGTTCAGTGACTGCTAATCAAAGTTCCTTTTTTTTTTTCTTTTTTTTTCTCAGTTGTGTGCAATAGAACAGCTATTTTGAAGACAAATCATTACAGGCAGTATAAGTCGTAGACTGGGTTCACTGGACTTTGTCATGTTTGCATGTTACTGTAAGCAATAAATCATCAATTTGGTATATGGAATGATTGCATGGTATAGATGTACGCCAGACACGGCTCATCTCACCTTGATATCATTTCATGGTTGGTTTGTCATCATAATTTCTTAGATACTATCAACAATAGAATAACTGTTTTTGGTAATATAATCTCCCAAATAAAATAATAATTTTAAAATCTATATTTGCTGCATACTTTTTCTATCTTTCAATATTACCAGGTGTGTTGTGATATAACTATTCAAGAAAATTTCATATTTTTTCTAACTAAATGGGTAATATAATACTTCTTTTTTACAGCCAGCAAGTAATATCGGTCATTTGATCCGAAGAAAGGTGAGTTCTTTACTTTTAGAACATTCCATTATAAGGCTTTTATTTAAGGTACAGTGCTCATAAAAATATGCTATAGGGAGACTTAGAACAAACAAGATTATACAGTAAAACCTGAGTAAATCGAACCCTGAATAAACCGGTTTCCTGTCCATTCCGGCCAATATATTTACAAGCGGGGCATCTGTGTCCGCTCATTTATTTATCTTTGGTCTATGCCAATTATAACTTGATTCAAATCACTTTGCCTGAAATGTTTTAATTTTGTGAAGTCTGGAAAAAAATCTTTAACATTGTGTTATTTTAAAGAGGAAACCTGATGAAGATGAAGAAAAAGAACCAGACACAAAGAAAACGAAGCAGGATGGAGCAGGTGATGCTACAGTTAACGGAACAAACGGAGTAATGGTAAATCATGATGGCAACTTCTTCATAACTCCAGAGATGACTATTTTTAGCTCACCTGGCCCAAAGGGCCAAGTGAGCTTTTCTCATCACTTGGCGTCCGTCGTCGTTAGCTTTTTACAAAAATCTTCTCCTCTGAAACCACTGGGCCAAATTTAACCAAACTTGGCCACAATCATCATTAGGGTATCTAGGTAAAAATGTGTCCGATGACCCCGCCAATCAACCAAGATGGCCGCCATGGCTAAAAATAGAACATAGGGGTAAAATGTAGATTTTGGCTTATATCTCTGAAACCAAAGCATTTAGAGAAAATCTGACATGGGTAAAACTGATTATCAGGTAAAGATTTATCTGCTTTGAAATTTTCAGACAAATCTGACAACCTGTTGTTGGGTTGCTGCCCCTGAATTGGTAATTTTAAGGAAATTTTGCAGTTTTTGGTTATTATCTTGAATATTATAATAGATAGAGATAAACTGTAAACAGCAATAATGTTCAGCAAAGTAAGATCTACAAATAAGTCGTCATGACCAAAATCGTCAGTCGACCCCTTTAGGAGTTATTGCCCTTTATAGTAAATTTTTAACAATTTTTAGTAAATTCTTGTAATCTTCTACAAAAATCATCTTCTCTGAAACTACTGAGACAAATTTAACCATACTTGGCCATAATCATTATAAGGGTATCTAGTTTAAAAAATTTGTCCGATTACCCCGCCTTCCAACCATCATGGCCAACTTGGTTAAAAATAGAACATGGGGGTAAAATGCAGTTTTTGGTTTATATCTCTGAAACTAAAGCATTTTAAGCAAATCTGACAGGTGGCAAAAATGTTCATCAGATTTAGATTTATCTGCCCTGAAATTTTCAGACGAATCCGACAACCCGTTGTTTGGTTGCTGCCCCTGAGTTAGTAATTTTACAGAAATTTTGCAGTTTTTTATACGCCCGTTTACGGGACGTATTATGGTATACCTCTGTCCGTCGTCAACATGTCGGACATTAACTCAAAAATGCTTTGACCAATTTGCATGAAACTTTGGTGAATTGTTTATATCTATTGACATGAGCTCCCTTTTGTTTTTTATAAAATTAAGATTTTACGTTTCCGAGTTATGGGGTTTTACTCATTAAAAAAAGGGGGATTTTCCAGTTTTCGGACAATAAGTCAAGAATGCTTTCACCAACTTGCAAGAAATTGTGGTGAATTGTTTATATCTATTGACATGAGCTCCCTTTCGATTTTTATAAATTTAAGATTTTATGTTTCTGAGTTGCAGGGTTTTATTCATAAAAAAAAGGGGGGATTTTCCAGTTTTCGGACAAAAACTCAAAAATGCTTTCAGCAATTCTTATGAAACTTTGGTGAATTGTTTGTATGTTTTGATGTTAGTTCCCTTTAGAATTTTATAAATTTTACATTTTACATTTCTGAGTTATGGGGTTTTATTCATTAAAAAAAGGGGTGATTTTCCAGTTTTCGGACAATAACTCAAAAATGCTTTCACCAATTTGCAAGAAATTTTGGTGAATTGTTTATATCTATTGATGTAAGCTCCCTTTTTATTTTCATAAATTTCTAATATGATATTGAGAATTAATTGAACTTTATTTGTTTATAGTCTGACAACAGATTTACTAAGTATTGCACAACAGCAAGAAATCTTTAATTGAATATAAATTCAATTCATATAACCAATTTCAAGTTCTTTGACTACATTTATTCAGAAACCTATAATTTGTCTAATATTTAATTACAATCCAAATTCAGACCTGAATCAAGCTTGAATATTGTGTCCATTTTTGCCCCAACTGTTCAGGGTAGGACCTTTGTGGGCGTATCCAGCTGGGCTCAGCGAAACAGTTTATTGTTATTATCTTAGATATCATTATAATATCTAATATCTAATACTATTAATTATGATTTTAACCTTATTTTACATGATTTCCAAAGCATCAGTAAATACAGGTGAGCGACACAGGCTCTTGAGAGCCTCTAGTTGTTATTAGCCATTACTTTAGAGTTATGAACAAATAAACAGGGTGTGAAATAAAAATCTCTGAAGATGATCATGATGTTGGCCATTACTTCAGGGTTGTTTGTATAAATTCATAGAATAGTACATTGAAATTAAATAGAATTTTGGTATTGATGACAAAACAAACTAGTCTTAATTCTGGTGTAAGTCTGTTGTAGTATTCATTTTTACTGGGAATTGGCTTTACGCTATCACGAGATTGCCATATAACTTGTGACCTAGATTCATGCCATGGTCGAAGTAGATTCTTTATTTGTTGTATAAATATTTAGAAAACAAAATCAGTTAGACAACTGTGGACTGGTGAAGTTTTAAAACTAATTTATAGATGTATTTTGCAATTTTTATGTTGACTGATTGACTGCTTAATTTATGTTAGATGAATTAAGTAGAAATCCAAGTGAAAAAGTTGTTTTTTATCAGTGCCATTTTGTTCTTAAGATTTTTCACCATAATATCAAACTATTAAAATCAGATTATGATTCAATATTGAATTCAAATGAGCAATCCCTAATATCAGTTTTAAGTTATAAACACATCTTTTTTGCCACAACATTTGGTAAACAAATATGATAATCCTCGATCCAGGCCTTCACACCTTTTGCTGTCAAACTGCAGAACAGCGTCACGAGTACACTACTAGTTGAAGTGCCAGTTGTGTGATATAAAATTAAGCTTGAATTTGTAGACTGGTTGTATGTTTTCTCAAAGCAAAAAATTATTTTGCAAACAAATCGAAGTATTTTCTTTCACTCTAACCCTTTCACCGATAGCTGCCCAGACAGAAGCTACTCTGATAAGATGGCTTCCCTGGCTACTATTACTCAAGTGGGAGATCTTCATAATAAATGTCAATAAAAACTTGTCTGTAGTTATTTGTGTCTTTATTTCATTCACTAACACCATGTTCACAGTTTTTTTCATGTTTTGATAATTTTTTCTTCATAAAATATTCAAATTTTCAAATTTTCAGCATTATCTAGGTGAAATTCTCAAAATTCTGCACTTTGACCCAAAATCGTAATTTTTTAACCCAAAACGGCAAAATTTTGAAAAATTTAATGAGGCTGTACAAATTCCTTACACTGAACGATGTCCATTCCAAGTGTTTTGTACATAAAACGACATTTTATGTCTAAAAAGTATACTAGTTTGGCTTCAATTCTTCCATATTCTTTCAAAAAAAATGTTCCCTCATTTCAAATTCTCGTAAATTTCCTCTGATTTTGACACGGTTTTCAACAAACGGTCGCCATGTTTACACTTCCATCCGGGTATTCAACAAAGAAAGATAGCTCGTGTTTGCACTGTTTTGAGAGGGAAATATAAAAGAGGTATTCCGATCCCGGTAAAACAGGACTCGTCGTCAGCTGTCTGTGTGTGTGAATCCCTTTAAACAGGGACTCATTGGCAAAAGGGTTAAGCACTTGTACCTGAAGCGTACATAAAAATAAATTAGATTTTTGGCTAAATAAAACATGATTATAATAGTCTTGAATTAACATTTGTTAGATTGACTCCATTAAGAACATCATTCCTTTCCAACTCACTTGTCAAAGATTGTTTATTTTTTGTAAATTATATTTAATAGACATTCGGTTAGATCCCCTTAGTTACAAGTATATATTTTCATGCAACTTCATTGTTCATTTATTGATTTAAGTTGCAAAAATTTGTTAAATTTATACATTTTCTAATGAAAAACAATGAAAATCATAAACAGAATTGTTTTCTTATTTAACTTTAATTAATAAATGATAAAAAAAATGTGTAATGAAGCATTATATTTTTATTTTATCCATAAATAGTTGGTTTGATTGCATAATAATATCAATTACTGTAAAGGATTAAAAAAAAGTACAAAAGAAATGAGGATGCCCTCTATTTTAACATTAAAAAAAATAATGCTACACAAAGACAACAACATCGTAGATTACTGCAAGGAAATTCTTTATTATGGTCTACATGTTTCACCACTTACGTTGGCGTCTTCAGGACAATTTAAACATAGAAAACAAATACTGAAGTACATAAAATGCGGTGCATATGGGGTTACAAAGGTTAACAAGACGTTACGTCACAATAATAGATTTGACAACGTTAAAATGAAAGTGAAAGTAAAAGTTAATAATAAATTGTCAGTGTCTTTTCCAAAATGGACAACACCTCACAGGACATTCCGTACTATTCCAAAAGGCTTCACTCGGAAAGAGGTACTACTTCCAATTGCGATGGGAATATTGTAAGATGTATGGTAGTCGCACATGTAGGGTATGGTGGAAGTTGCGGTGAATTTGTTACATTTGGGTACACTATCCATGTTTCAAGTTCATTTAAACAATAAAATCGTGCGGTTCATTACGTTTTGCAGTGGTCTTCTTTGGATCTTGAGTGGTAGTAGTTCGTTGTTGACTTTCTAGAATAATTCGGCAATCTCGGAAGGGGTCGATTTTTTGTCAATGCGGCGTGGTTGTCAAATACAAAGCTGGTTTGGCAAAGGTGGATAGTCTAGATGCAGGGGTTCACAAAAAAATATTAAAGATGCATTGAGTGAACCAACACCTAACGGTACAAGCTGGTAGAGAGTAATCAGGATGGATACCCGGAAGTATGCTGCGGTTGTCTTAAAACCTCAGGAAAATAATGCTACACAAAGACAACAACATCGTAGATTACTGCAAGGAAATTCTTTATTATGGTCTACATGTTTCGCCACTTACGGTGGCGTCTTCAGGACAATTTAAACATAGAAAACAAATACTGAAGTACCACAACCGCCAAATGTAACAAATTCACCGCAACTTCCACCATGCCCTACATGTGTGACTACCATACATCTTACAATATTCCCGACGCAATTGGAAGAAGTACCTCTTTCCGAGTGAAGCCTTTTTGAATGGTACGGAATGTCCTGTGAGATGTTGTCCATTTTGGAAAAGACACTGACAACTTATTATTAACTTTTACTTTCACTTTCATTTTAACGTCGTCAAATCTATTATTGTGACGTAACGTCTTGATAACCTTTGTAACCCCATATGCACCGCATTTTATGTACTTCAGTATTTGTTTTCTATGTTTAAATTGTCCTGAAGACGCCACCGTAAGTGGCGAAACATGAAGACCATAATAAAGAATTTCCTTGCAGTAATCTACGATGTTGTTGTCGTTGTGTAGCATTATTTTCCTGAGGTTTTAAGACAACCGCAGCATACTTTCGGGTATCCATCCTGATTACTCTCTACCAGCTTGTACCGTTAGAAGGTGTTGGTTCACTGGATGCATCATTAAAAAAAATAGTGTAAAACAAATTTCATCTTGAAATCAGAATCAAAATTTTATCTTATATCATGCTTGCAGTACTGCCTAATCCATACCCATGCCAGGCAATAGTCATTATTGAGTAAAAATAAACTTGAATTATACATGTCTTAATTTGTTATTCAACTGTAAATATGAATCATTAGGTACAAGGAGAGGTTATTTAAAAAAAAAAAAAAAAAAAAGGGAAAAGCAATCTTTTTGAAAGAAAGAAAAATTTGACTTGTAGTCTTAGTCCTAGTTACAGTAATGTAGGGGATAACTTGCAGTATTCATTGTTTTCTATCTGTATTTTACAGGAAGTGGACAAGAAAAAAGCTGAGGGAGATGTACTGCCACCAGCTGAGGCAGTTGCTTCATGAACAACATCTCAGGAACAATTAAGTGCTATAACGCGATCAATCTACACAATTTTTGTATTTAATGGTCTTTATATATTTATATTTTTAAAAATGTTAAGTACTAAAGATTACTGGTGCTAAAGTTAAGAACAGTGACAATTAACGTATAATCATGTAACTTGTGTTGATTTTTCCTTTTGATTGACACCTGTTCCAATATACTGTGTGATCATCCTGTCAGTTCAACCATTCTCATGTTTCAGTACATTGTATCTGCCATGTTGTCTCTTTACTGTAGTGCTCTAATCATGAGATTAAACTCATCAATCATCTGTAGTCTAATATTATTATTCCCCTACCGACGAAGTCGAAGGGGACTTTAGGTTTGCACTCCGTCCGTCTGTCTGTCCATCTGTTAGTCAGGTAAATCAGTTTTCCACACTTTTTTTCTTAGTGCTTGAAGATATTGATTTGATATTTGGTGTATTGTTTTATCATGACAAGTTACAGATCAAGTTCAAATTTTGTTCCAGTCTGATGATTTTTGTGCAGAGTTATGGTCCTTGTACTTAGAAAATTCACTCAGTCAGTTTTCGGCACTTTTTATCGTCATGCATGCAGATATTGATTTGATGATTGATATATAGTTTTATCATGACAAGTTACAGATCAAGTTCGAATTTTGTCCCGGTCTGATGATTTTGTGCAGAGTTATGGTCCTTGGACTTAGAAATTCACTCAAATAATCAGTTTTCCGCACTTTTTTCGTCATGCTTGAAGATATTGATTTGATAAATGGTATATAGTTTTATCATGACAAGTTACAGATCAAGTTTGAATTTTGTTCCGGTCTGATGATTTTGTGCAGTTATGGTCCTTGGACTTAGAAAATTCACTCAATCAGTTTTCCACATTTTTTTTTGTTGTCATGCTTGAAGATATTGATTTGATGATTGGTATATAGTTTTATCATGACAAGTTACAGATCAAGTTCGAATTTTGTCCCGGTCTGATGATTTTGTGCAGAGTTCTCGTCCTTTGACTTAGAAAATTCACTTAAATAATCAGTTTTAAACACTTTTTTTCGTCATGCTTGAAGATATTGACTTGATATTTGTTATATAGTTTACACCATGTCAAGTTATAGATCAAGTTAGCATTTTTGTCGAGCCTTCAACTTTAGTCGAAAAAGCGAGACATAGCGATCCAACATTCCGTAGTCGTCATCCACAAATATTCACTCTGTGGTTAAAGTTTTTGAAATTTTAATAACTTTCTTAAACTATCCTGGATTTCTACCAAACTTGGACAGAAGCTTGTTTATGATCATAAGATAGTATCTAGAAGTAAATTTTGTAAAAAAATAAATCCATTTTTTCCTTATTTTACTTTTAAATGGACTTAGATTTTCGGCCAAGAAACAACACATTCACTCTGTGGTTAAAGTTTTTAAAATTTTAATAACTTTCTCATACTATTTTGGATTTGTACCAAACTTGAACAGAAGCTTGTTTATGATCAAAAGCTAGTATCTAGAAGGAAATTTTGTAAAAAAATAAATCCATTTTTTCCGTATTTTACTTTTAAATGGACTTAGATTTTCTGCCAGGAAACAACATATTCACTCTGTGGTTAAAGTTTCTAAAATTTTAATAACTTTCTTATACTATTTTGGATTTGTACCAAACTTGGACAGAAGCTTGTTTATGATCAAATGCTAGTATCTAGAAGGAAATTTTGTTTTCTTCCAGTTAACATTACATTCAGTCTGCAGTTAAAGTTTTTAAACATTTATTAGATTCATAAACTCTCCTGGAATTTTGCCAAACTTGGACAGAAGCTTCTTACAATCAAAAGATAGTATCAAGAGGAATATTTTTATTGATTTACTTCCTCATTTTTGTTGAGCCTGCGATTAACAGAAAAAGTAGGCGAGACACTGGGTTCCGTGGAACCCTTACGAATTTTGTTCCAATACAATAAATTTTTAACCGGTAGGGGACTATGTATTGCCATGCAAAACTCTCAGAATGCCTATTTTATACTTCATTAGGACCCAACCGATTAATTGACAGGTCTTTTGTAATCAACTTCTCTGTCTCACAAATTGTTTTCACGATCTTACTTTTTAAACCACATGGAATTGGGTAATTTACCTTTGCATCATAGTCACCTTTAACATTTGTGCATTTCCCCCATTTATTTATGATGTCACATTGCTTACGTAGTTATGTCGCAGTAAATGTGGATTGAAATAATTTATGCTGGTTGGCCTGAACATAACTCATTCATAAAAAAAATATCAAAATTTGTCTTTTCACAACTACACGAAGCTGTGTTGCATGCAAGGAAGAAAATGATACATTTAAAGTTAAGGTCAAAAACCAACTAATTCACCACTGTGCACATGCACAAAACTTGTTTCTGCTTTCTTACTCAACAATTCTTTGGAGTTAGGGGATGAGTTAGTGGTGCATCAGTAGAATTTCTGCCTTCCAATGGATATATGTTTTATTGGAGTAACCCTGATTACTTTTAGAATTACTGTTTATTCAGAAATTAATGCATGCATTTATTATTGCGAATCCTTGTCCTCTGGCAAAAATGTGAAATCTAATTGTGATTGCAAAAATTTTATGAAGTTAAATATCTATTGAAATGTATGAGTTTTTATTGTGATGAACTTGAAACACTCGCTTTTTTTTTGTAGTAATAAAAACGTCACAATAATTTCTGAATTTACAGTACCTACATCCTAATTTACTTGTCAGCACTAGCAGAACCCTTTGGTGGTGGCTACCATCATTATCTTGATTTATTTCATCCAAAAACTAAAAAGCAAAAGTTTAATGACATCCTGGCAAAAACAACCGTCATGAATTCACTTAACTAAACCATGACTGAAAACATAAAGGTAAACGGACAAAAAGTCGCAAACAATTTGTTGACAACTGTTTGAATATATAAGAGAAAGATCTTGAAATATTTTCTTTTTATTACATATATTCATTTTTTAAGTTTAGGAAATTGTTCATAAGCCTTGATAAATGAAAATTTATTAAATTTGAATCATGCAAAGGATATATTTCTTGGCACAATGAAGCCATTTAAGTACCAAGCCACTTTGACATTTTGTTTTCATAACAATTATTTGATCATTATTGATATTTATTGAATAAATTTTAATTACAAAGTTGCTTCATATATAATAGTTCAAGAAAAAACAAAAATTTTATTTTCTAAATTAGCGTTTTCTTGTTTAAAGAAAAATAATCTCAAAACTGAATTGTGACTTTCTGTCCTACATTCAACATAAATGATATAAGGAAAGCACTTGTTAAATGAATGGTGCATGCACTGGAGAAATTTGTGTGTTAAATCATTAATACCAAACTTCGCCCAGTGCACCAAATATGGACAACAGTAAATATTAATATGGTTCCTGCATCTAATGTGTGGAAAGCTAGCTTAGGTGCTTACAAAATACAAGAATGTGATTAAACGAGAAACATTAGCTTTGGGTGATATACATCAATTTTGAGAGCTGCATGTACATCACAGTTGTTGATTTTAAAGGGTTTATACATCAAAAATGATAAGTTTTATAGTATAGCTAATGTTTGGTCTAGTTTATATATCCTTTCAGAAGTATAAAATTAATGCATACCCTTGCCAAAATGTTGTTTGAAGGATATACCTTGTTATATATTTCTTTGATAATGGGGATTAAGATTACACTGACTTACATTTTACACATGACTGCTCAAATTCAAGATTTTAGCAACTTTTTAAAGAAAGTTTTGTCTGCAGAGAGATTATGTACAATTCTTGCTAAGGGCTTTTCAACATTTAAACTTAAGGGAGGCACTTTTTAGCTCACCAAACAGCTGATTGTGCTTTTCCCATCACTTGCATCTGTCCTCTTCTGTTCACTGATAAATTCTGGGCCAAATTTAACCAAACTTTGCCACAATTATCATTTGGGCATCTAGTATTAAAAATGAGTGTAGACATGTCTAAGAATAGAACATAGGGTTAAATGCAAGATTTGTGTTTTATCTTTAAAACTGCTATAGAGAAATCTTGACAGGGGCAGAAATGTTAAAGATGTTGATCTAACTACTGTCTATTTACATAAAACTTTCAAACGTGAACAATCTTAAAATGTAAGTAACTGTCTACCTTGAAGAAATTCTTGTAGAAGTTACTGCCATTGATGACTTTTATCTTGAAAAGAATAATGGATCAACAGAAACTAAAGATGATCAGCAAAATAAGATCAACATAAATGACCATATGACAGTATTGAGTAACAGTCTTCTTTCTGACCAATTTTAATGGTGTTTGTCTAGAAAAGAATTGACAACACAAAATCTACAAAAGTGCCAATATTGCATGTATCATCAATTGTCTCCCTTTATTCATGTGTAACCGATTTAATTGTAGAAAGACCAACTGTAATTTACAAACTGATTAATGAGTTAGTGGCCATAAATGAAGACTTAGTTATTTAAAACTTCTATGTCATTTGGTCTCTGGTGGAGAGTTGTTTCATTGGCAATAATACCACATCTTCTTATTTTTATATGCCCGTTTACGGGACGTATTATGGTATACCGTTGTCCGTCCGTCATCAACATGTCAGACATTAACTCAAAAACGCTTTAACCAATTTTCATAAAACTTTGGTGAATTGTTTATATCTATTGACGTGAGCTCCCTTTCGTTTTTTATAAATTTTAGATTTTACGTTTCCGAGTTATGGGGTTTTATTCATTAAAAAAAGGGGGATTTTCCAGTTTTCGGACAATAACTCAAGAATGCTTTCACCAACTTGCAAGAAATTTTGGTTAATTGTTGATATCTATTGACATGAGCTCCCTTTTGATTTTTATAAATTTTAGATTTTACGTTTCCAAGTTACAGGGTTTTATTCATAAAAAAAAAAGCGGGATTTTCCAGTTTTCGGACAATAACTCAAAAATGCTTTAAGCAGTTCTCATGAAACTTGGATGAATTGTTGATATCTCTTGATGTAAGTTCCCTTTATTATATTATGGTACCAATTTATCAATTTGCCTGGGATATTGATAAAGACAACCTAAACATCAATTCAAAATATGATTGACTGGAGTACTTAATTGTCTATTTTTACCCATTGCATATAGCTTTGCATTTTCGTTTTATCTCTGTAACTACTACATGTAATACAATTTATACAAAGGTTGATATGAATGATCCATAGTGTCTTTAAAAAGCTTACATCATACAATGTTTTAAGCAGCACAACTATATTTTATTGACCAAAATGTACAATGATCTGCAGAAGTTC